GAGTGCAGATTCACAATACTATGACTTAGGTTTTAAAACAACTCGTTCGAATGGACGTAACGTTGATCTCAATTAAAAAGTAAACACATAATATGTGTGCTCTTCAATCAAATACCGTAGAAATAAATGGACTGTGGTCAGTGGCGTAATTTCAGTTTTTGATAGGGGGGAAGGCAAAATTTTTGACCGGCCTATACTACCGGGGGAAATATAGAGTTTCGCCCACACGTCTTAACTTATACTTAAGGTATATATTTTATATATTATATTATACAACATACATTTTTGCAAAATATAATTTTGTATTTTATAAACATTACCTAAACAGGGTTAACTTAATCTAACTTAATCCTAAATTAATCTAAGCTCTTAGCGGATATCTTCTATTTTTTATTTTTGAAAATACATCTACTGCATTATCTAAACTGATTTTTGCAGAAATATCACTATCATCAGTTATAACTAACAAATCACTTAGCCGATCATTTTTCATTGTCAAGCGTAGATAGATTTTAATTAATTTAAGGGAAGAAAAAAAAACATTCATTGGAAATAGTTGTTTCAGGCAAAGTTAAATGAATATTTATTATTTTAAGAATTTCAGTAAAAGCTTTAGAAAGTTAATTTAACATTTTAGAAATAGAAAAAAAGATCATGAATTCCATCATCGCGTTCTTTATTAGAATAATTTAAGTTAATTAAGTTAATAAATTTAAGTTTTTTGCACATAAGAATTCAGTTTGAAATATTAAATTATCAATTTTAAAATGATTTTAATGATTATGGAAAGACAATTTTTAAATTGGACTTTTGAAATTAAAATAAAAAGGAGTGGAAGATAAGAAAATATTATAAGTAAAAATGATTTCATTGCTAGAACTGTTGAAACGATGGTTAAGTTCATTCAAAAATCTAATATTTTTGTAAAATGCTCATATGTTATTTATATTTTATACCAATTGGCAATTACCAAGTATTGTTTTGAACATCGATATTCGATGTATCGATTTTTATAATATCGATGTTTTCGATATATTGGTGAAAAACCATCGATGTTTAAGAACATCGAAGTTTAAAAACATCAAACATTTTTTTCCCCTCTAGAGTTGCTATCTGTCGCACACCTTATTATCTGTACAGTGTACTATTTTCTTGATTAAATAATACATTTAAGAGTTAAAATACTATTGTTTAACTTATATTTTTTAGAAATATATTAAATACTATTTATAATCAGGTCTTGTAAGTTTATGCATTTGCATGTTTTCTTTGCTATATCGGAAAAAATACTATTTTTTTTTTAATCGAATAAAAGAAAAAATTACAATCTGCGAGACGTTCACAATAAGCAATTTTTATAATAAATAGGACAACAGTGACATAAAAACTTGAATAGGAAGAGGCCCATTGACCACACCTACAATATTACTTAATATTTGTTATTTACAGTTTTTTTATTTTTTATTATTATTAACACCCGTATTACAATAACACAGGATCTAATAGGTCACGAGGCCAGTCCCTGTTATAGCGACGGGTGATATTGTTTGGGATTGTTGTGGTGGATATTTGATGAATTAGTTGATTAGGGTGATATTTTAGTTTGTTATGGAATTTTTTGTAATTATTAGTTGCAAGTTCTTTGACAGTTGGTAGTCGAAGGACTTTATAAAGATTTTGATTTGTTGAGTACCAGGGGGCATTTGTGATAATTTTTAAAGCTATTGATTGAAATGATTGTAATGGTCTAATGTTAGATGGTTTAGCAGGTCCTCATACGAGTATTTGTATCCCATACGACCAAACTGGTCTGATAAAACTTTTGTATTTGAACATTTTATTTCAGGACTTTGCACCCGAATTAACCCGAACCCGTAACACCTCTAAAAACCATTAAAAAAGTCAAACATCCAAAACCTATATAACCCGAAGGTTTTTTTTTTTAAAAACATCCGAATTAACCAAAACCCGAATAAAATATTGGTCTTAACCTGAAATCCGGATAAATACTTTTAATACGTACGGAGAATGATCTGTTTTCTAAGTAGGATTTTAAGATTAGATAATAAGGTGCAAGTAGAAAATTTTTGAGCTTAAAGAGTAGGCCATTATGCCACACTCGGTCGATCGCTTGGGAGATGTCGAAGAAGACTTCTGGGCAGAATTGTTTTTTCTCGAAAGAGGTAGATATGTGTTATGTGTTATTCTGTGTATTTGGTGGATGGTGTTATGTTTGGTGCGGAAACCGAATTGATTTACTGGCAGTATGTTATTTTCGTGGATAATGGTTATAATACGTTTTAGTAGTAGTTTCTCGAATAATTTACCAAGTGTAGGTAACAGGCTGATTGGTCAATAGGATGTAACTAATTGCTTGGGTTTGTTTGGTTTGGGAATCATGACGATAATTGAGTTTTTCCATGTTGGAGGGAAATGAGATAGTCTCAACATGGCATTGAAAATATGGGTTAACAGAAGTATTGATTTTTTTGTAAGATGTTTAGCTATTTTATTGGTGATTATATCGTGACCTGGAGACTTATTAGGGCGTAACTTGTTAATTGTTGTGAGTATTTCAGATGGAGTGATTGGTTTAGCTGGTCATGATGTTAGTAATGGAGCATACAAAAAAGAACGAACTAAATCTTCATGGTCATTGTTTGATAGAATGGAAGAATGGGGAGTGAAAGTTTCAGATAGTTGGTTTCCAAAGAGATTTGCTTTTTCAATGTCGGATGACGCTAATTCGTTATTTGGGCATACAAGTGGAGGGATAGTGTCACTTTGGTTTATTAATGTTTTGGTGATATGCCAGATCGAGCCATTTGATGGAGTTAGAAATTCTAGATGAGATTCGAATTGAATGGATCTATGTTTGGACAGTTCAGTTTTTAGAGTATTTGTTAGTTGATTAAATACAATTTTGTCAATTGGGTATATTGAGTTTTGCCAGGTAGCTTTAGCTCTAAGTTTGGCTTTTATTAGTTCTATAATAAAGATTGGAAAGGTGTTCGATTATTTATTTTGATTTGAAGGATTTGGAGTAACTGATGAGGATGAAGAGATTGAATTTTGAATGGAAGTAGTTTATTGGTTTACTGTGTTATTTATTTGGTCGTGTGTTTTTAGTGGGATGTTTAATGATATTAGTTTATCTAAATTATATTGGAACTGATCTCAGTCTATGGGACCAGAGCTGAGAGTCTGTATGGTGTTGAGTTACTGCTCCACAGGTTAAAAGTACAGGAGTATGATCACTAGATAGCTCATTTAAGTTTTATGTATAAGATTGATTTAATCCGAAAAACTCACTAATCGAACTAGTTAAGTTAGTAAAAGCAAGAGCAGAAAATGTGCATGCACACATATCGAGTGCTGGACTGCGAATGATATACTAATTGAAATAAAAATCCGTTTCATAACAATGGTAATAAAAATCTAAAGTTTAATAGAGCATGTTTTTGCATGTTTTGTGTGTATTGACATATTTTGGCATATAGTTGATTTTTTTTTGAGTTATTAGCACATATTATTTTAAGTAAATTTAGCGAAATCGTTTTTTTGTGGGTAAAAAAAAAAAATTATATCAATAAATGTTTGAATCCATTCTTATTTACTCTACCGAACTTGTTTATAAAATCTTAGTATTTTATCAATATTTTTATTTTTTAATGACATTAAATTTTATAAGTTATAAGCAGTATCATGAAAAAAATGTTATTGCACACCACTACCACTCTCCTCTTATTGACGTGTTCATTGCAATCTATCTATTTTCGTCGCAACGTGTGTTCATTAATATTAATTTTAATAAAATGTAACCCAAGAAACAATATAACTTTTAAAAATATAAATGGATAATTCTTATTATTTTAAAAAATTCTTAAACGTTTTTTTTTTTCGTGCATAGTTAAGGATTTTTAATGCATACTTGATCAAATGTTAGTGCATTATTGCATACTTATTTATGCGTTTTTTAATGCATAAGCTTACGAGCCCTGATTATAACTGTATAGTGTATACTATATAACGTTTTTTGTATACTGCATACTAAAATAATACAAACAAATAAAAAATTTGAACTTTTCCAATTTTTCGAACATAAACATCAATGTTTAATCGATTAATCGAAAACAAATCATCGATGTTGAAACATAGATATATCGACCAAAAACATCGATGATTTTTGCTCATCCCTACTTCGTGTATTATATACTCGTAATATACAGAAGTAGCGTCTAGATCTAAAACCTTAAGGTAGAACAAATTTTTAATTAAAATATAGTAACACTACCACCTCGTACATAATTTTAACGCAAAATCAGTATTACTATGTAGGTATCCAACTAAATATGGTACACAAAGTACAATAAAATATTATAGATTAAATATATACTTGCATACATAGTTGTAAATATGATCTATGGTACTATACGAGAACAACGAGTGTGAACTTATATATTGAGAAAAGAGGGGTAATCATTAATAAAGTTCATTAGACAAATAATTGGTCTGAGCAGACAGAAGTATGAAAAGGAGTTTTAAGATGTTAAGGTATCGTACGACCGATAATTGAAAGAAGAGGAGGATAAAGGAAAATCAATTGCGGAATAAATGGGATTTGTGAGGAAGGAAATGTAATGGGAATAAACGGTCGGTAAATTAGAGAGGAGATAATATGAGTTTAGTTGGGACGGGGGAGTATATTTTCATGGGGAACAATTTGAATTGAATTCGCAACGCGAGTAATAAAGTCGCAGAAATTCCGTTGGACTCGATGTAATGAAGCGATTCGTCGAGCAATAGTGTCGGAACGTAAACGACTTTTTGTTAATGCGGTTAAAAACGATTTCAAAACCAATACGGGCGCGGAACACGCGTTGTATACATTATTATAATTATTATTATCATCGCGGTGGCGGCGTCGGTGGCGGTGCGGTGGCTAGGCGGTAGCTAACAGCTGTAGTCCTACTTGCCGCCGGGCGGCGGTACCTATTGATTTCCTCGGGACGCCGGAGCGTAGACCGTTTGCACAAATGCGTGTGCTGCGTACAACGGCGACACGGCGTTCGCTGACAGTTTGCCGATCGTTTTTTTTTTTTTCGCTACCGCTTTTTCTTCCGTACACGCGTATCAGTCGCACAAAACTTGTACGTCCGGTGCGCCGTGTTGATGTTCGGTAGCGTTTTCACGACCATAAGGTTCGCCGTGACATAACCGTACAACACGCGCCCATACGCGAACCCCATACACGCGTTACGGCGGCACTTGTTCGCGTCGCTCTCCGGACGATAGGTTAGTCGTCGTGGCCGCAAACAATTATAAACCAAAAAAAAAAAAACCGTGGATTCGCGTATCTACGCGGGCGCGCGCGCGTGGGGTCGACTGTGCCGGACGTGGTTACGCGACGGATACCGCAATAACACGACCGACTTCCGGTTTTCATAAACAATGTTTTTACGTAACCGTTTTCTTGCCATAGCGTAATCGTATTTAATTATCGTGCTGATCGTCGTCGTCGAGTACACCGCAGCGTCCGAAAATGAGTCTTTCCGAATCCGGATGGTGAGTACAAACGAACCGCCGTAATAGTCGCACGAGCACATTGTTTCCGATGACGTGTGCTTTCCGTTTAAGGATCCTACTGAAAACGGTCGCCATTTTATTGTTGTTGCTAGCATACGGTTCTTGTTATTCGACGGTTGAAATGATTCTTTTACACGTTCTTATGACGATTGTTCAACGTCCAGTTGGCCGAATGTTTTCATTAGTTTTTATGTGCGATAACATAATATGTATTTTTAAAATATAAATTTCCACGTATTAATTAGTAGTTTCCTCGTCATCCGTTCTGAATCGTTTTTTTTTTTAAAAATTCACAAAACTTTCTATCGATATTAAAATTTAGATTAGGTATCTATAGGTACTCTATAGAGTAGGTTCAGCTAAATATCTTCAAACGTGGCGTTTATATTATCTACTACTGGTGACGTACTTGAACAATTTAATAGCACATATTGCTAATCAGTGGCGCAACTAGGAGGAGGAAAACGCGGATTCATCCTTGGGCGTAAAATTTTAGAGTGTGTAATTTTTATGGTACATAATTTATTATTGACTAAATTTTGATATTTTTAACTTTTTTACTGATATGTGTTTAAAACTCAATAAGTATGATTGTATGCTAATTATTAGAAAAAAAATGGTAGGGAAGGGTATTTTATTCTTGGTCTATGATAGGGCGTAATTTTAACACTTCCCTCCGGCATAAAAATGCCTAGTTCTACCTCTGTTGTTAATAAATAACGATTCAACTGTATGTTTTGAATTGATTTATTATTAACCACAACAAATCGAATTTAAGTTTTTTGATTTATAGTGTTTACCGATTACATTATATAAACCAGCGGTTCTTAACCTTTTGTAGATTACGAACTTCTGATTTTTATAAATTGCCATTTTTTTTCGAATACATTCTTTTTTACAAAACATCTTATGTTATTAAAACCAAAATTATAATAATTATTTTATATAATAAATTACATTAGTATACATAATAAAACATACATATTTATAGTTATTTTTTCACACTTAATTTTTCAGTTAACTTGGCATTTGTGTAGCAGGTGATCTACTGAGGGGTGGGTGATTTGCGAATTCAGGACGAGTGATCTAAGTTTTAAGGGTTCGTAAATTCATGCCCTAAAAAATGCCTAAATAAGCATGCATTTATGCACTTAAAATTGGCAAAATATGCTTTGAAATATGCCTTAAAAAGTTAAAAATATGCATTTATATGCACTAAATATCTAAAATTATGCCCTTAAAAAATGCTTACTTAAATAAATCATAAATAATTTTTGAAATTACATAAATTATCTATTCAATTTTTTTATAGCTATATTTTATTTTTTTATCTCATAATTAAAAAAAAAATAGATTTTAAATACTATTTAAAACTATTCTTGAGCCTTCATGAATTGTGTATAATGTATGTCTTTGTCAGTAATTAATTTTAAATCTGAAACTTTTGGAACAAATTTATTCATTAAATGTCCGAGTATCAAGAATATAAAAAAAAGAAAAGATAGTACAATTTCTATTTTTAATTTTTTATATATTTTCCATTTAGATTTTTGATCGATTCTAATAGAATGTTGTATAATATGCCCGATAAAATAGAAATATGCATAAATATGTCAAATAAACAAAAACATGCCAAATATGCGAAAACATGCAAAATAAGATTTCACATATTTAACCGTGGTACCTTGAAATGGATTTCTGTGTCATCTAGCATTAAATACAACTTTGCAAGATTGATATGCAAATGCATGTACTTACAAGCTCTGATTATAATACTCGCAAAAATATTGTAGGCGTACTACTTGCATCTTATGCATAGGCAGAGGTGTATTGGTATGTATACGCGGGTATACGGCGGTTACACATCAGCAGATTTTCAATTTTCGGCATATACCTAATGTAAAATATTATTTTACGGGTATACGCTCCTAAAATAACTCGAAAACAAAAAAACTAATAATATTTTAATAGTTAATTGGAAAAAATAGTTATGAACCATGAAATTTATTGAAATAATTAGCTGTTGAAGATTACAGTGTACGCTATGTTTAATGTATTTTGTTAACTATAGTGAATAACATCAAAGAAAATAGTATGGAGTGTGAATATTCAGTCCATGGTCCTTAAATCTACATCATGCAATTTATAACGCGCTGCAAATGTGTATCTTGTGGTGTTATATTTTGTAGTCCTAATAGAAGTTTTAATTATATAGTTACAAAGGATTAATTAGATTTTTTCGAACGTATCGAGAGAAAATAATTATCGAGCTAGGCAAGAAAATATATTTTAGGATTAATATCTATATTTTTTTTAGTGCGTATACCCAACAATATATTTACCCATACACCACTGTGCATAGGTGCAAACGCGTGATGTTACATATATTTGGAATGGTTTTCTCGTTAACTGATTCTCGTTTATGTTGTAATTCATACACAATATACCAAGGTAGACACCGCTTAAACCGTCAGGCATTAATAATCTGACATCGTGGTTTCTATAATAATATGTAATTGCAGGAGTATTTTGTTTTTTTTTTAATTTTTTTTTACAATTGTTAGCAGTAAATTAGTAAAAAATAATACAGATTTTCATTAAGGGGGTTTAAAATATTGGTTAAAAACGGCACCAACAATGATGTACTTCGATGAATATAATTAAAAATATTTAACCGTCGATTACTTAAATAAATATAGTTATAAAATATATTAGATGCTTACGTACAATATTGAAAATTTAGAATTGTAAAGCTAGGTCGGGATTATATAATACTAATATAATTGTATTATTCGTACAATTATGTATAGTGATTATAATTATATTAAACATATTTTATTAGAAAATATAAAAATTAAACTTTACACAGTTGTGGGTGGTAGTTTAATATTTGTTCTATATTCGTAATGAGTAATAAAACTAACTCATCTGTTAATAGGTCACATTTACATAGTATAATATAACTAAAATTCCATTCATTGATTTCCAATATTTTCACGGTTAATGACAACAACTCGGAGTACCAATATTCCGATGTAATAAATGTATTTCGATTTTAACGACATTCGTAAGGGGAAAAAATATGATACGTTAGAAAACAAATTTAAATATTGAAAGCAATGATCTAAAACGTGTTAATAGTTAATTAATGATGTTGAACACAACTAAAACTGTGAAACGGTTTGATTGGCAGGAATACATACGACGCTCCTGGATTAAACAGGTGGCAAAACAATGCCAATGGTTCAACTGTATCGAAAATGCAGCACAAATATTGGGTAACTAAACAGCAAGTATGTAAAAAATTAGGCAAAAAAGACGATGAATTCATAGTAGCCTCGGACGCGGAACTTGACGCTAAACTTGAACTGTTCAAGTCTATTCGGAGTAGTTGTCTACATTTGCAAAGGATTGTAAATAAATATGACGAAAAAATCTACAGTGAGTATTTTATTTTTAATTATTTAAATTATTGATTAAAAGTTCAATTAATAGTTAAAAAACTTTTATATACTTAAGTGTATTGAAATACACTTAAGTTAAGTTTACATATAAGATAGATCTATTAATAATGAAGTGGTTTTTGTAAACATAAACAAGTTTATACATTCAGTCTTAAGAATTAGATAATTTACATATACTTATTGTTAAATTTTATCAATTTTTAATCAATGATCTAATACAATAATAAATCAATAAGGATTATAAATATTACAAAAATACATGAAATTATAATATGAATTCTTTAAGAATAGGGATCATTTTATAAGAACTGTTTAGATCAGATGGAGCTAAAAATATAGAAATAAAATGAGTTAAATTTAATTTTTTTATATTAACAGACTTGGCATATGAAGAAAATCAAATGGGTTTGTTTTTAAAAAAATCTGGAAACAAAGATCAAACCAAAGCTGGCGAAATGATGCAAATTTTAGGAAGCTGCATGGCACAATCAGGACAAGAAAGAGTTGGATTACGTACGCCTTTGGCTAGATTACATCAAGTAAATTAAAAATAATAATTATGATTAAAATATTGAATTATAATTATACGGACATTTTTTTAAAACAATGCAATGTATAAAAAAAAGTTCAAATTAAATGTTTGCGAAGCAAAATTTACATTATAATTATTGTACTCTTGTTGTGAATAACAAACGATTTGGAATATATACGAATAATTAATATTCCATATCCGTTACTTATAAATAATAAATACATTAAAATTAATTCTTTGCTTAAATAGGATCTAAATTGAAGATCCCAATTACTTCTCACGGCTTTATTATCAATCGAGATTTTCTAAATGCTTTTAAACTTTTTACACTGGTGCAGGATGAAGAAAATGTTTTAAGGCCTCTCTTATATAATTTTACTTGACGTGCTTCTGAACTTCTATTAAGTATTGATTTCAGAGTTTTTTTTTTTAATTTACCCGAAATCATTCTCCTTTTTCTAATAATTAATATAATATTAATAACCATACCACTTATTTCGGACTACTATTTATTATTTTTTTTCAACTCTTTATCTTGGCTATTCACTTGGCTAACATCGTAAACTTTTTATTGTTATTTATAATATACGTGTTTTTTTTTAGTTACTTGTTATTTTTACCTTAATTAGTAAATAAATCATATAACGTATGTATACTGCATATGCATTATATACACAATATCACTATAATGTTATTAATAAAGAGCGGATTTTTAGGTACTTAAAAGCTTAAAATATGATGCTAATATGCTCTAGAAAAACCCTAAAATAATTTCTAAATATTCCTTAAACTTCTTAATATGTAATAATATGATTTTTTTTCTTAAATTGTTCAATAAAAACATTAGATTACTGTTATGAGCCATTCTTTCGGTAACAGGTAAATTATTCAAATATATATAACAATTTAATACAGTTCATACATAGGAGTATAAATATAATAAAATTACATATAAAAAAACAAAATAGTTAAATGAAAACAACTTGTATACCCCATTCCTTGGTAAAAGATAAATTATTTAAATGGAAAAAATGGATAACACTTCTATACATAGGAATGCAAATATAACAATCAAATTTTTTTTTTCCTAGAAAATCATAACTCCAGAAATTAATAAAATATGCTTTTTTATGAACAATAATTGAAATAATATTCAAAATAAAAATATTCAAAAATATGAAAAATAAGCTAAATATTCTCTAATGTCCAAAATATGCTAAAATATGCAAAATAAATATTTTCCTACGAACTCTATGATGGAAAAATCGTCCACATTTTTCATCCTCGTAAATCTACATAAAGCCAATAAAAATATGTTAAAACCTAAAGATCTGTTTTTTAGTTATCAACATTATTATTATTATTATACATACTATATTTATGGCATTTAATTTGAAAATTAATAAATAAATAGTTCGTCATCAATATGTTTAATTCAGGAAATAGAAACGTTTTGTTTGAGAGCTGTGGAGGATACGCGAGGTGATGTGAAACGGATGGAAAACGCTCGAACAGATTACAGGGCTGCGTTGAACTGGATGAAGGACGTTTCTCAAGAATTGGACCCGGACACTAATTCTCAATTGGACAAATTTAAAAACGTGCAGACCAAGGTGAAGAAATCCAAACAGCAGTTCGATCATCACAAGTTGGTTTGCTTGCAAAAAGTCGACTTGTTGGCCGCCGCGCGTTGCAACATGTTTTCTCACGTTCTCATTTTCTACCAACAAAGTCTACAGCGATTTGCAGAGTCCGTAGCAGCCTCATTTGAAAATGCGACCAAAGACTTTAAACGTGAGTATAATTTTAATTGTTTAAAAATAATGTCGGCTCTGTAATCAAAAGTATAATTCTATTATTTCACATAAGTTTCCAGACTACTGCAGTTTTAATATAATACGATTATATACTGTTAAAACATCTCCGATCAGTGTGATGCTTTTCGTGCATAAATATATTTATATATATTTAAACTGTTCGATATGAATTAAAATGTTGTATCCAAAAAGTTCATTAATTAATAATTACTTCAACATTAATTATAATGAAGTAACTTTGGAAATATTACAGTTCTACTGCAGTTCAATAATTTTTTTTTGAACAATAAAGCGTTAAACCTATTTTGAAATTCATCCCTGGGCGTATTTAAGAAATTTTATTCTACTAGAAATTAAATATTGAAATTGCTTTCTTTCAAATTATAATTGGGTTCCTTGGCCACCCTTGTCCTAAACCTCTACTCGTCTTGATTTTCTATAACCTCTACGCACACACCAACAGCTCTCATAATATCATTCTCAATCGTATTCAACCATCTCTTTTTAGTCTTCCTCTTCAACGTTAATTTTTGTAACCACTTTTACTGATTTTGTTTCTCCTCGCCTTATCACATGCCCAATCCATCTCAGTCTATTTTCTCTCATCTTGTCCGCTATAGATGCTACACCAATACTATCTTTCACATATTACAGTATCACCAAAATATTGTTAAATTATTTTTATTATTTTTATTGGTTTTCCTGAGTTTTTTCGAATATATTTTATATAATTACATACAGTGTACATTATACAACCATACATTTTGTACTGTATTCGTCTATATTTATAAAAGATTGCATAAAATTTTACTAAGATAACATGATTATATTACTGAGGGATATTCGATAATTTTTCAATTACTTTGTTAAGTTAGTAAAGTTTTATAATGTTATTGAGTGTATTAAATAATATGTTTTTTTTTATAGAGTACCAGCAGTACGATTTTAAAATGATCAAAGAATTACGAACGGATTCAGTGAAGTCCAAAACAGATGATAACAGCAATGATTCAAGGTAAAGTATACATACGTTTCCTGTTATATTTTTATGAGTTTTGATATTAAAATTTTAAAATTTTTAAATTTTAATTAGTTCGTATACGGAATTGGGTATCGAAGCTACTTGTGACCAAAGTGAAGAAAATAATGAAACCGCTTTGCTGTCGTTATTCGACGGAAACGACAGTTTTGGTAATTTCTTGTCAAATCCTTATGAAAGTAGCCAAGAAGAAAAAGATACAGAAATTAAACAATACGGAATAACAGGAGATGAATTTTTACCGTCTCAACTGTTGTCGGATTTATTATTTGGATCATCAGAACCTAATACAAAAGTAAATTTTTAATGTTTATTACCTTAACTATGTTTATAATTATGTTTATGACAATTTTTGTGGACAATATCCTTTTTCAAAGACCAAAAACTACATTCGTAATTCCTCATTTAAAATATTTTATTTTATCTTTGTTTCCTTGTTCTCTTTGTACTACATTTGTATTCGTACCCTTTTCTATGTTTCATAACATTTTACACATCACTTTCTATTCAATAATACACGAAAAAAAAAATAATATAAATTTAAGTTATAAATATATTACAGAAATCGGCAGTTTCGTCGAATAATTGGTCAGACATTTTTGCCGATCTCGATCCGCTGAACGATCCAGGATCAGCTTTTAAACGAGAACCATTGGATCTGCTTTAAACCTGCAACAGTATTACTGTTTTTTTTTGTGTATAATATGTATAATAATATATATTTATATATAATATATATATATATATATATATATATATATATATATATATATATATAATAATAATAATAATCAATTATATGATTACAAATAATTTGTACAAAGCTAGTTTTTATACTCAATATTTGGTATACTCGTATGTTAAGAGAAAATATTTTATTAATGGTGCGAGTTATGTCGTCGAAAAAAAACTATTACCATAGGTAAACGTTATATTGATAAATTAAATGTTTGCGAAATTGTATTTTTAGAAATTTCTAAATATAATAATACAATTCTCAAATATTGTTTAGGAATATTTTCGTTGAATATCTAATTAATTATCAATTCGTTTACTTTTAAAGGCAATCTTTACTTTTAATTTCCAAAACGTATTAAACATTTTTTTTTTATTCAATTATCTTCTAGCCGTTTTAGCTGTGTATTGGTTGTATTTGAAAATTTTCACATGACACCAGAAATACTTAATAAATTAATATTTTACTAAATTAATAACAACAAATATCGCATTGAATCGAACTATCGAAAAAGTGAGATATATTAAAATGTATACATTGTTTTGATATGCTACCAAAAAGTTTTTATATTCAAGTAAATTTTATACGTTCTCTGTTAAATTGTAATACGTTAATGAGTATTATGTGTAGTACGTCACGCAAAAGTGTACATAACCAACAATTATGTTTAAAAATGGTATTTTCAATTTTTCCAAAACAAATTAATTTCGTAAAGCCGCGTCCACAATAGTAAAAATGTACGTTGTATGTCAAATGTAGTATTCGTCGCCAATATTAACGCCGAAAATATTTATAGAAATAAATACTCGTTTATAATTTATTATAAAATTTAAATATTTTCGTTGTGTGCTTTGTGTTCGTGGTCTACAATAATTCGCCAAAATCATATTGGTCTTTGCTTTCATAGAGATGTTTTCATTCAGTAATGCCTGGATTTTTTTTCTTCTTTATTTTGATAATTTTGGTGTATAATAATGAAGAAGCACAATTTTTTTTTTTTCATTTTAACAAGTGAATCAGAAATAAATTACAGTTTAGTTACTATTTATAATTATTTTTGAAGTAGAAAAACACAAAAAATATTAATATACGCCAACATTAGAATGATGTTGCGCCGTAAAAAACCCATAGCTGACTAATCGTGTGTGTGGCATATGCCGAAAATATTTGTGTGCGCTGTTATGCGGCAAACACGTCCACACACGCACACATTTAGTGCCGTATGAATAAATTTTTGGCGAATACAACGCACTACGTTAATTTTTACTAGTGTAGACGTGGTGTGATGTGTAAACAAAAATTATTAACGGAAAAATGCATCTCAAAAGAAATAGGTTTTCATAATACTTATGGATTATAATTAGCATTTGTCATTTATACATTTACAGAACTTACGAATTTAAGGTAGAACTATCTTATACAGTGAAAATGTTAAGTATACTACGTTATTCAATCATCATTGAATAGTATTGAATTTCGCGCGTTTTAACATTTCTAAAAAGACAATATTTAATAGATAAAGCATCTATGTAATTATTTCATTGCTTGCAACAAATGACTATAGTGTATAAAAGAAAAAGAATAATAATAATAAGGAGCTATACATACATATAATTGTATATTATATATACTCACAATATTATTATTCTATAATTTATACATTCTTATATACTGTACAATTATTTAATAATGTTCTGAAAAATTGACTTTTTATTGAAACCATTACATAATTGCCGTCCTTTTTATTTACTTACCGAGACTGACAAGGAATCATTTATCAATGACTTAAGCAGAGAACGCGGATTGTGTAACAAAATAAATTTTAGTAACCTACATTGTTACAATAATATTTGTCAAACTTTTTAGTTTATAATGGATTCGTAAATTGATTAATGTATTGTCATAATGTGAAATCATAAAACGTTTTTTGATCGATTTGCCTTCCAATGAGTTAAAACATTATTGTTGTCTTCAAAACTACGTTATTGTTACGACCGATGGTACTAATATATTGTATTAAATACATTATGCTATAAATGTTTGGCTCAATTTTTGTTTTTTTGTTCAAATTATGTATGTACTGACATAATATTATTATATAATATTGTATTTAATGCGAGATATTATTTTTGATAACATTTAAATAAAATGTATGCGTTACCTACTGATTTACACTTGTTCTATTAAAATATATGATAAATGCTAAAATAGAAATAGTAGTTATTTGATTTTTCACTTCCAAGTTCTAAGTAACATTTATTTAAGAAATGGCGTCTTTTGCGGAAAATACGAGTTTAGCGTAGTATGTACTCACTACAAATATTATGTGTTGTTCCTGAAAACAAAAATGTGCACTCTGAATTATAATAATATATAATTATATGTAATTTTTATGACTAATATAAGTGTTATCAATAATTAATGTACATTATGACTATATATAGTATGATAATAACCATGTGGGTACATAAAAAAATAAGTTGGGGGATGGTTTTAAGTTGCACATTTTCATACTTATATAATCTATATACCGATTTTATTCTATAAAAATATGTCTATTATTATTTTCGAATTTCAAGGGAAGGAGAGTTTGACCCCTAAAACCTCTCTTGTTTACGTGTTTGATAATAACATAGGGATAACAACATAGGGTTAATAAGTCTATGGATTCCACTCTATGGTTAGTGAGTTTATGATTTCGTGCCCTCGTCCTTTGAAATCCGAACCCAGAACTTGGGCTACCAGTAGATAATGTAGAATGCCAGCACGTGTTGTTGCTGATAGATATCCACGTTCGTATCAATAATGCGATAATTATCGAAACTAAAAAATACATAAATACCATGCATCTTAAGATCAAACGTTGAACACGAAGACTTCACGGCAGAGAAACAAAATTATTCATTGATGACATGCACAATGTATAATATTATTGTATAAATCCGTTTACTTCGTCGTCGATCTCATTTTGTTATAAGACGTAAAACCATAAACCAGGACACTAATTAAATGTACTGTTAGGCATAGGCAACGTCAAATGATGTCAAATAAATTTACTTTACAGTAATAATTAAGTTGCAATATATTTAACGGGTAATGTTAAAAGTCAATTACACAATCAACATTATAATATTTCGAAGTTTTGGAAAACCAAAATAGAAACAATTAAAAAAAAAATTTTTGGAGTGTTTTTTTGGTAAATAAAATAGTAGGAACCTATTATATTAATGAATATTTTTATTTGTTTAAATATATGTATAATTAAAATAATCATATCAAACCATTATTTTAGTTATTTTCCAATTAAACAGTTAAAAAAATAAATACATCATTTATATTTATGAGCCCTTTTAGTTATTACATATAATTACTTAGTAACTAATTGGACATTTTATTTTCTCTTAGGTACCTATTCTCCTTTTTTTTATATTTAACGGTCTAGATAAATATCCTAACAATATGTTTCGATTGATATAGTTTCTCATTTTTTTATTTTTTTTATTTTTATTAGCTTGAAGTATAAAACTATTATTATTAGCTCAACAATTATAATTAAGTGCATAATAGTTACATTAAGATATAATTATCGGTGAATATGAAATAATTGATAATTAGGCTAATGAGATAGGGAATAAATGAACTATGGAATGGATTGCTTTTGCAATACGGCTGTAAGGAGGAATATGAGGGGATTATTTAGTGAAGAAAGATCTGAAATAAATTTGGAAAAAATGTGGTTGTTAGTGGAATTATTCGATAATAGTGACGGTGACGGAAGCGAAGGAGACTTTGAGAGGGAGAGGTGATGGTTTTAGAATCTTAGACGTGAGTACCGTGTTCAGATTTCGTCGAATTGAATGAGTAAATTTGCGATGTTTGGGTAGTGCTTTATATTTTGGACATCCTTTGTAGTTTGAGGTGTGGTCACCCGCGCAAAAGGCGCATGTGGTTGGGCTGCTTTTTTCTTTGGCACAAGTGTCTGAAGAGTGACCTCCCCCACATTTAACATAGCATGAGGGATGATGGCAATATTTAGCGTAGGTCTGACAGTTTTTACAATGAGGCGGACTTCGTCCTGTATGGCAATTCAACTTCGATTTTTGTATGCAAAATTAATGATATACATAAAACTTCTTTATGATTGATATTGGGTTTGAGGTCCACGATATACATATATAAATATATATGAATTGTGATAGTGAGCGTCCGTTTTTATTAAAATTTACGACACGGGTAGCAGAGTGACCTAGTTCGTCGAGAGCATCAGATAAGTCTGAGATAAGGGTTAAGTGGTGCAGATTTCTTATGACGATCTTATAAGGCCGATACATAGAAGGCATAAAAATGTGGAAAGAAGCATCGGTTTCCATTAGGTATTCTGCGATTATATAAAAATTTTCACGACCTTGAGGGAGGACAATCAAAAAAGAAGGTAATGACTTACATTTAAAACCGTTTTGACCAGTGAGCTGTATTGACATGTTTTTGAAAGCGGAGAAGTTCTTAATGTCTTGGATATAAAATGGCGGAGCCCTGGAGTTGTCGTATAGAGTGGGGATAATGGACTCGTCAATTGCATCGAAAGCATCACACATGACGTTGGGTTTACTTAAGTTGTTCTTCTCAAATACCAGAACGGTGAATCGGTTTGGTGAAACAAATTTTTTGGATTTCTTATCATTTGGATGCGGTGACAATGACGAAGATGACAGATTTCTTTTGGTAGATTTGGGCGTATACGGAGAAGTTAGGCTCGAATTCTGACCGTTTTTATTGTACATAATACCGTTATAGGTAAAGGAGCAATGTGCTAATGAACATGATAAAAATAATTTAACAAGCGTGCTCAGAGCTAACGGAGTGAAAGAACCATCGACGCAAATATTTTATCTGCTACATCAAAAAACCTATATTTAATTAATTTTTTATAAACAATTAAATAATTAAAAATATAAACATAAATATTTATTAATTTAGCTTTTTTTATCCAATTTATACAATAATAAATAAAAATGCTTTTATATGTAGTGATTACAAGCTGAAATCGATAAAACTCAGGAATATAAAATTTTTTTAAATAAATATTTGACTATTTTGGCAAAAATAATTGTATCTCATGTCATTAAGGTAAATATGTATGGTCTTTAAAATAAATGTAACTAATTGGCCATTTAGTTTTCTCTTAGGTACCTATTCTCCTTTATTTTTATACTTCACGGTTTAGATAAATATCCTAGCAATATGTTTTGATTGATTTAGTTTTTCGTTTATGTATATTTATTTGTTCATTAATCTTATTATCCACATTTGTATGTTAATCTTACTTTTCACGATTGATTTAAGTGAATCGATTAAAGCAAAATAGATTACAATGTAAGTATTAATTATAACAGTGGTGCACGTAGGGGGGGGCTAAGGGGTTGTTCCCCTATCGAAATTTTCTCTGATGTCTAGGTTAAAATTTACAAATTTTACAAGTTTGAAATATGAAGAGCTAGTATTGAATACCTAGTATTATTGATAATAGAATAGTCTATTCTATTATCAATGCTATTATTTAAGTCAAAATATATTAAGGATTTGCATAATTTTGTTAATTGTAAAATGTGTTATATTTTTACCTAGACCCCCCCCCCCCCCCCCCCGAAAAAAATTCTGTGTGCTCCACTGAATAATAATATAATATTATACAGGTTAAAATATTATTATTCTGGAGATTGTACTCATCGTATATTAATATCAAATTTCAATTAAAAGACCCTGAACTTTATACGCCTTTAGTAAAGTATGTTTTTATAACATTACTTATGTTTGCTTATTGATCGTTTTTTTTTTTCGAATTTTAATTGAAATGTATTATTATTAATTGTACAGTGGTTTTAACAATGATATTATGACGTAGAAGACGCATACGATGCTTATCAATTTGAAAAAAAAGAACATTTTTAATTTCTATAAATTATACTCTACAAACACTACCTAGTTGTATCGACTAAACAAAAAACAAAAAAAAAATGGTTGTTTCCATGGCAACATTTGGTAAACACGGGTGTTAAGCAAGGGCTAAATGAATACCATAGTGGTGTTTATAATATTCGTAGAAGAATTTAACGTCAATCATAACTACTGTTGTGAATATTTTATTTAAGCTGTTGGAGCTGCAGTGTTTTTATAACACGTTCAACATATAAACATTGTTAAATATTGTGAAGACTAATGACAGAGGGAAAAAAGTACAGTGAAGATACGGTGGCGGTATGGAAACTTCCTCTCGCGGATGGTGTGCATGAAATAGAATTTGAACACGGGACAGCGACTGGCAGAAGAGTTGTTAGATTGGACGGGAACGTAAGGATTGTTTTATTTACATTTTTTTTTTCGGAATAAAATCGCACCAAAGGAATATTGGTGTGGAAAAAGGCAGTTTTACTACAATCAAATTGGAACTGTATTGATGTAATATCACATAATTAAAAATATGACAATATAATTCGTATAAGGTATAGATAAATTTTAATATAATATAATAATCAGATGAACATATGAGTTTATTTTGACCAAGCTGCAGACAGGTGTATTGGTCAAGATTAATAATTTTAATTAAGAATTTACCATTTTACGTATGAAAAAAAATCTAGAAACATCACTTCGGTTTTCGAATCGGCCACATTTTTTTTTTTTAATTTGCTTTTATTAAAAAAAAAAAAACATTACAGCTAAGCAATATTGGCCACATTGAATGCGACAACTTCTGCTATTGATAGCATCTAAGATATTACTACCTTTTGTTAATTAAAATTATTATATTTTGTGGTCATACAGATAGTGAGACAAAAAGAGTGGATGTTTCGATTAGTTGGCGATGAAGTTTTTGACATAGAAAATGTGCAATGCACCATTAAAGTCGAACCAGATGGTTTGTTTATGTATACGTATGATTTATTAGTCGACGGAAAGAGCTTAGAAGACTTTCGTGCACATTTTTCAAAAACTCATTCAACCTGGTTGTTCACTACATCTAACGGTGTCGAAAATCGCATTATTCTCGGTAAAATAATTTCGTTTAATTACTGACAATATTATTATCTCTTACTTTTAGTGCATTATTTCATATATTACTATAGTGATATTGTTTAAATAATAATTGTTGAATTATTTGGATATTCAAAAAATTAATTATTATGAACCGTTAATGACAAATAAGAGTCATATCATAAATTGATATTTAATTTAATTTGGATATTCAAATATTCGAGTTATAATTTTTATCGAACAAGTATTCAAAGTATGTTTAAGTATTGTTCTCGTTGCATATTCATAGATAATTATGTTGAGAATTTTAAATAACTCTTCCCATCCTAGTACGATTAATAAAACTTGGAAATTAATAAATTAGAGATAATTGTAGTTTTTAGTGTTTTACAGCGCATAATCAACTCTATTAACGAAAATGATATTAGGCATGATATAAGTTTATTGCATGCGTGACAAATAACGAATCGATATAACCTAGCTACAAAATTATTTAAAAATTCGTTATCCTCAAAGGTCTCTATTAAGTATTTACGTGTTTTGAAAACTACATGGGTTCAATTTGTTTTTAATTTAACCAGAAACACAGTTTGAGGCGATGAGTGAGATTATAACGTAACTAAACCAAAAAGCAATTATGCCATGTAAATATAATAAGTTTTGACGTAATTAGTTCATTAAATAATTATATCAGTAATAAATATGGACAGTAAAAATAAATGTTCATGTTGTATCATAATGTGTTATACACATTTAATATATGTATTTAAAAATATATAATCTAAGAATTTGAATTTTTACGCATTGCTTATTTAAAAATATATCTTCTTTTTACTTTTCTTTTGTAGAAAATAAACGTATGCACTTCATTGTTTTGAATGTTCAATTTTTTTACACATAACTAATTTTAGATGTAAAATGAACTAACAAAAATAAAACGAGTTTAGTTGTTTAACTAACGATATATAACTCAAAAGACTCAATCTCAAACGTCAGATAGATACTCAAACATTTTTTTAATAAAACAATTGAAATCAATTTTTCTGGAACTTTTTTTACACCTTGCATATTTTAGATTTTAAAACATAACTTTTAAATAATTAAATAAAAAAAAAAAATTATAAATATATTAAATTCTGATACATTTTTAAATTTTAAATTTAGTTTTATTAGTTATTATGTGTTATAACATATTATTTATTGTAAGCAATCATAATATTTTATTGTTAATTGAAATGAGAAAATGTGAATTTTTAGGTATCTTTTTTTAAAACTATTTATAAAATCCAGGGATTATTTTTTAATTTATTTATTCAGTTTTTTATTTTTTAGATAAAGCAACAATGGATATTTTTGTTAATGGATTTCAAATTTCAGATGCAATGGTAGAATTCATTATTTTTAATTATAATATAAAATAGGCGATTATATTATTTGCTCATAATTTTTAGTCAGAATTCATAGAAAATGGAACAGAAACACATTTTGTGATCGGCAATGAAATTTTAGCAACAATTCGAACTGAACATAGTGGTGATAAAAAAACCGGAGTCGTACATAATTTATTCATCAATGGAAGTTTAGTTCCAGAGTTATAATATATTAAGAATTATTATTGTAAGACAAAAATAAATGTTATTGTTTAAACATTATACAACATTTATAGTTACCAAAATATATAAAAATTGTTAATAAAATTTAGCGAATTAATGTCATACAATATTGTAATATTATATCGAAATAAAAGTTACCAAAAATATTAAAAAAAAAAAAAGTAATTTTGAATCTATAACCACACGAACTCTTATGGACTATGGTTTTATAGTTAAGTCATTTTTTATTTATTTATTTATTTTTTTTTGTTTACTTTCCTTTCCGTTTTAGACAAAAAATAATTTTAATTATAATACTAAAACTATAAACACAGGGACAACATCAAGTTATCTAATGTACATACAGGCTTAATTATACATTAAAAGTAGACTTAATTTAGTTTTACTTATGATCTGATCACAGTGTATATTCCCTAATCAATAATGTATTAGTTGCAAGTAAATAAATTCATTATTAAAGTGTTATTATTTTCATAAACTCTTCAATTGAACATACCTAGTTTGATTTTGTTGTTATGCCTTCGATTTTGTTTTGATTTCATGTTATATAAATGTATAGAGCAGCGTGGTCCAATCTTTTGTAGTTAAAGGGCCAATGTACACTTTCATAAAAACACTAGGGGATAAAAAAATAAAAATAAAAGTGGTATTATGTTATAAAACCCGTAGTCAATAATCAACGCCTAATGACAATAATAACAATTAGGTAGCGATATAACCAACTTCCTCGATCTGCCACGACAGGAATTTGGAATCGCTGTGGCTGCTATAGAAATATTATACCTAGATACAGTGACGCCCATGTAGGATACCATGTGGTGCAATTGTACTGGTTTCTCGTGGATCCAGAGGCCTACAATAACTTAAGGGCCCCACTCTGGTCTCTGGAGCAAATACTATAAAAGCATAACTATTCATATAGTAACTAATATAGATAGTTATAATAATTTTGATTGTGTTTATAGTTTGTCTCAGAGCTCAGGAAGCCACTTCAATATTTATATGCCATTATGTAAAAATGTTACGTAGGTAACTACTATATAGAGTCAATTATGATGAAATTATAGATACATTTTGTAAAATAAATCAACATATATTCAATGCCTTAAATTAAATCACTGATCAAAACTATTATGTATGTTGTAGTATTATCTTTGACATTTTTAATAATTAATAAGTTATTGTAATTGAAAAACTGCCCTGAGCAATACCAACCGGTAAAGATTTTCTTTTGTAAAATTTTAAATTCAAACCCTATTAAAAAAAAAAATTGTACAGGAATTTGCTATATTTATAAATTTATTTGAGGAAACATGTATTTGAAAATGCATCTGGAAAAAAATGATTCAATCAAACGAATGTGGTCATATGGATGTAGATCAAAGTTGGAAGTACGTTTTTATTTTCATTCGTAACTTGTGTGATTTTTCAATATTAGACATTGTGTACTTAAACTAGTGTCTTATACAGCATATCCAGTGGCGTATTTTCAAATTTTTTGTGTGTGTGTAGGGGGGGGGTCTAAATATTAAGTACCTAAAGTTTATAGCATAAAAACACACGAGTTATGATGTGATAATTATATTATTTATATTATATTATGTATATTTCACTACTATTATGATTTATTAAACAAATTAATAGTTTTTTATAATAAAAAAGGTAAACGTCTTTTTTTTCTCGCCAATTCTTCAATAACTTCTTCCGGTTTTATTGAGTAGTTTTTATTTATTGATAACATCGCTAAACAGTTCAATCTTCCCTATAAACAAAAAAATAAACAAAGTGTTTAATTGTAATTTGTAAATAACAAGAATATTTTTTAAGTATATAATAATTTACCTCTGACATGGAATTCCTTAGATATGTTTTTATTCTTTTTAAATTTGAAAATGGTCTTTCATTTGTTGCAGATGAAACAGGAAGCGTGACTAAGATTTGAAGAAGTTTAAATATATTTGAATAAATTAACTGATTACACATAACCATAGCCTCTAGAGCATTATTTGGTTTCTCTGTTGTTTGCATGAATTTTCTCTACCATAATTTGTATTGTGCTTCAATAATTTGATTTTGAGATCCATCATTCTGCAAATCTTCAATATATTTATTTGAAAGAATTGTAATATCTTCAATAGGACCATTTTCCCTAAATTGAGAATCAAAACCTGATAAAATCGATTGTTGAACATTGAACCTTTCTTCTAGCTCTGAAATAAATTTTTCAAGATAAGAAATAAAAATTGATGCTCCATAATATTGTTCCGGAGTATTTATTGGTACATTGCATCTATTAGTTTGTTTTTTTTGTTAATCTTGGAATTTTAATTTCAATATCAAATTTTTCAGCTACTGCTTTTACTTCTTCAAATATTTCCTTGAAAAAATCATCAGCGTATGTTCGAAATTCTTGTAATTCTTTTTGTGTATCATTTGCTAATTGTACAGCCAATTTAAGATCGATATTTGATTTTTGTAGGAACTTTGAAAGTGGTAAACCTATACTAAAATCTTTGTTTAGTTCGAATAATGATATCACAGGCTCTATATCTAAAATAGAACTTCTAAGACGTCTTGCTTTATTCGAAGTATCGTTATCGTCCCATTCCGAAATTGTATCCAATGCTTCAATGACATACTCATAAAGTTCCATAAAATCGTTTATTGCATGAAATTGTTCTATCCATCTAGTTTCGCAAGTTCTTTTTAACGACTTTTTTGTGGATGTTTCTGATGAATTTTCAATATGAAATTGAAGAATTGATTTCGTCGTTGGACGGCGACGACTCAACAAAAATAATCAAAAATTAAACTCAAGTTATTTATACAATCAATATTATATACATATTTTTTTATAATAGAAACATTAAAACCTATAATATAAAATTAATATTATCTTTCTCGATACCTACAAACCAAGTTATTTATGACTTTTTAAATATTTTTCTGGGGAGGGGGTCGAGATCCGGGAACCCCCTCCCCGTGAATACGCCACTGAGCATATCATTTCATTACTGTCGTAAACTTGTAGTCTATAATATTGATATTTATTATAAATGTAACAGGAACTTACAAAGTTAATTATGCTGGTAAATTGATTCATCAAATATAAATACAAGTAAAATAATATAAACATAATATTTTAAAATGTAGTCTTTACTCTTGGGAGTAGTTAAACCAAACATAAAATTAAATATTTTCTCAAACCCAGAAATAATGGGAATATTTAGTGGGTTACAATATTTTACTTCTGATGAAGATTGAATTAATAAACGTCTTAATACCAAGATAGTTGGTGCAACAAACTTTTTTTTTCGCTTTACAATTTCTCCAAAGACGTGGCTAATAGCTGCATTATTTTGCAAAATTCTTCAATGAAATCCGATTCATTTGCTTTTAACTTGGTCAAATTTAGTTCACCAAATGTTGAAACTAATTTATCTTCGTGGCTTATGACTAGGTCCCGGAATTATATGCATTTGCATATTTTTATATATTAAACTAAAAAGTAGCTAGATAAGACAGAAATTTGAATCCTATCCTAAAGTGTTGGTATACGAAATTAAATTTGGCATATTTTTACATATTTGGAATATTTCAAATTATTATGCATATTTTAGCATTTTTCTGAAATATAATGCATATATACGAGTAGAAAGAAATATTATGAAGTTATTAATATTATTATTTATTAGCACATGTCCATCGTAAATTCCGTGAATCGTGCAGTTATATAATTTGATTTTTGTGTTATAATAAGATAAGATAAAGTTTGCTAAAAGTACCAATACGATAGTAACTCTCCAGGTAACTTTAAAAATATTATAAAAATCCGCTTGATTTGTTTAAATTGATTTTCATTTGTGAATTTTTGTTTAGATGAGTGAGTGTTAAAATAAAATTTAATTTCAATACAACATACAGTTCCATACAATTCAATAAAATATATAAAATACAGTTGATATATTTTAAAGTATAATTTTTGTTAAATATTAATTATTTTATGAATTGTATACATTTTAAAATTAAATTCATTTAATAAATAATAAACGTGCATTTTTGTTTGCATATTTTCGCATATTGTTGCATATTTTGGATGCATATTTGAATGATAACCATTGCATAAATGCATGCATATTTCGTACGTTTTAGTGCATATAATTCTGGGCCCTACTTATGACTTTTTGTGCCACATCAAATAAAGAACTCCATCTTGTAATTACAGAAACTGGAAACTTAACTTTAAAACATTATCTGAAGCCACTGAGCTCCTGCTAACAAGGTTCCAAAATCTAGACAGTTTATTAAATGCAGATTTTGAAACTTAAACGTAGTTGGCATCTGTAATTTTTGAAAATCACATGTTGCAATTAAACTTAGAGTATAACATTGTCTTTCTCAACATTTTTTGTACTTGAATACATTGAATTCATTTAGACTATTTTTATGTCTGAATTTTCACTATCCATTGCATTGTTTGAGCTACTTCTACTTAAATTATTTTCTTCGTAAAAATTTCCTATACATGGCAATCTTGTTTGCTGTATTGCAAGTAATGATGATGAAGAAATATTTTAATGTTACTTGCATTATCTGTTATGATGCGTATAACTTTCGATACATCTATTTTGAATTTATCCATTATTTTTGTTAATACTTCCACAATATTTAAATAATTATGAACTCTTTTAATTCGTTGACAGCCAAGAACATGATTTTCCATCATATGTATCTTCAATGAAATGAAATGTCATACCTAAAATACAATAAGACATATTTTTATAATTTTATTTTTAAATGATTCTTTAATTATAATTACCCATACTACTTTTGTTGTTGGAGCTCCAAATATTTGCTACTTAGCAAACATAATTATGGGTTTCAATTTGAGTTTTTAACATATCCACATTTGCTTTATATGTCACTGCTAACTGTTTTGACTTATGCTTTCTGTTAGAAAGAATAGATGAATCATTTAATCCAGTTAATCTTAATAGTAAATTTTGAAAACGCTTTTTTCACAAGTGACTAATGGCCACATTTCATCTACTATATAATTGCACACCAATTCACTAATCTGAAAACAAAATAATTCTAATTACATTAGATATATTGATATCAAATGACATCAATTATAGTATTAAACAAGATTAGAAAAATCAACATTAGTCATATTTCAGTGTTTCACATTAGAATAGGGTTTTAAGAAAAAAAGCATATTTATATAGGTTTATATAGAATAATATTTTTAAAAGCCATTCCATCTATTAAACTCATCTGCATAGCTTGTAATAAAAACTGAACTTCCAGCAAAAGATTAAATAAATAATTAAATATATAATTATATATATTTTATTATTTTTAATAAAATTTTATCTAATTAATTCTAAAAAAAATTTTTTTTAAATTTTAAACTAAATACAATTTTTTTCTTGATACATATGTGTGCAAAAATTAAATTATATGTAACTATTCCAAAATTTAATTTGATGATTTATCAAGAATTATAATTAAATCCTTACTTACGTTTAGATAATTAATTTTAAGGATTTACTTAATACTTAATATTAAATACTAGGTATTTAGTTTTTAATATAAATATTACTTTAACACTTTTAAATCTAAAATTGAATTGTATTTTTTAAAGTTAGATAGATCGTAGGCACCACATCATTTACACAATATATTATTGAGAGTAGTAAAATAATGATCAAAAGTTTGCAGAATATAGGTTAATTCAAGTTATAGTATATATGAAACTATTAATTATTATGAACTTTTTGTAGCTAAAACTATTTATTAGCATCTAAACCAACAAACAAAAGAAACTACAAACTTATAGGTACTAGTTGTTTTATATTTTTAATTTTCTTATGTATGTATCTACACCTACCACCTTCACATAAATTATAAATGTACCGACTTATGTTTTATGGATCAAATTACCTTTTTTACCTTTTCCTTGAATACTTTTTTTGTATGAATATAATTTTAATTTGAACAGTTGTTTCTCCCGAATTTTGCTTTGAATCCTTGTCATCAATGAGTTGTGTTTATTGTTTATACTGTAAATATTTTAATATTTATTAAACTATCATTTAATATTTTAGTAGACATACTTTTTATTTATTTTATTTTTAGTCTCCGTTTTTTGATACTATATTTGTTTATTATAATATATAAGATGAAAATAATATTAGTAAAATGTAACTAAATCACTATAACTCTCAACCTTCAACTCATGCTTTAGTAAATAAACCATAAAATAGTTAGGTATAAACTATATATGAGATTATTATAAATAGTAATAAGTTATACGTAACTAATAAATAGTTATTTTTAATAAAAAGCAAATTAAAAAAAAAAAGAAATATGTGCATATTTTTATACTAAAAACTCACTTTAATATGGCTCAACAACTTTCCACTTGAACTTGAGGATCTACTTAAACCTTTTGCACAATTTTGGCACAATGCTGTTTGAATCATTAATGGAAACAAGTTTATAAAATTCATCAAATAAATATCTAAATTTTGGTTCAGGAGTGATCGATTGCACATTTGAAAGATTATCCTCCGTTTCTTCAATTTCTTGATGATTTGTTTTTTTTTTTTTTTTTTCATAACAAATTTATTAATTTTTGACATCTGATTTACCTACCTAATTATTAGAAACCCAACGAAAAATTACTTAATACAACAGTTCAACACTAGCTAGTACCATAGATTAAATATACATATTTGTATATTATTATTATTATTATTTGTATTTGTATATTTAATCTGTGTTAGTACGGACTATGTTTTTGTGGACATTGAAATAGTGATTACAGATTATAAATATAAAAATAGATTTTATTGACAACGCCGCGCGCCGCTCGTATATCTATTGTACTGTACGAGCTTATATAATATACTTTTTATAGGCATTGAACAATTCTCATATATTTATAATGTGTTTTTTTCTTCAAATTATTACTGTTATGAATTAAATTAAATAGAACGCTCTTCCAGAATAGTTTTATTAATTTTAATTATTTCACGATAGTTCAAAATACTGTTCACAGATTTTTAAACTTTTGCGCTTTCGATCAAATATTTATCACATACATTTATCTATAGATACGTTTTTATTTATCTCAGATTAGCATTAGATAACTTAGATAATATTTGTCTAGCTAAGATAAAATAAAATAATTTATTATTTAGATCAGTGTTTCATAAAATTTTTATTCGTGGAACCCTTACTTTTTTTTTTTTAGTTTTTTTAGCATTATTTGTAAATAAATTATAATCATATAATAATATTGTGTTAAAGATATTTAATTCAAAAAATATGTTAAAATAACAATTTAAATAATAGTAATTGTATACATATATAATAATACTTTAATTATAATTACTTTAATTAGACTAAATATAAATTTAGACAGTTCCATATGGTTTATACATTGTTATTTAATATACAAAGATTTTTTTTCTTTAATGCAAACATTTTTTCTCCATTACTAATCTTTAGTTGGAAATTTTAAAGTAATTTTCTTAAAAATGTTTAAAAAATTACTTAAGCTTCACGGAACCACCAGAGTTCCGCGGAATACAGTTTAAGAAACGCTGATCTAGTTAATTTTAACCCTGATTATGATTAAGTAATAGATATATTTTTTAAAACAAGTCAACAAATATACAATGCCTAAAATTTTAATTTGTAGTATTATCTTTGAAATCTTTAATAATTAATAAGTTATCGTATTTGAAAAGTCACCCTGAGCAATATCAACCAATAGAGATTTTTTTTTATAAAATTTTAAATTCAAACCTCTATTAAAAAAATGTTGTACAGGAATTTGCAATATTTTTAAATTTATTTAATGTCAATGAAAATACATTTTGAAAAAAAATTATTTCAATCAAACGAATATGGTCATAATAAATTATTCTATAATCAATGGTATTATGTAATAATTTTATTTTAAAATCGAAGTACCGTTTTTGTTATATAATTAATATATATTAACATACTGATAATATTCTGTATAGTTTATTCAAATGTCTTGTTTTATTACGTAATAACAGTGTATCATGAATATTTTCAAACGCAGCATATATTTTTAAAAAAAAAGCGGCAAAATAATATTGTTGATTATTAGTTATGGTTGTCTATCACCGGGAGCGCTATTATGAAAATAACGGTGCACCCCTTCCATTTTATTTACTTTACCCTATGTTCCTCTGCACTTTTCAAGACGATTGTTGAATACGCAACTGTGCGGTCTTTTGCTGTCTCACGTTGTTTCGCGTTGGTTATTGTATCGAATTATTGTCGTTCACGATCACGTGTTCCGTCGGCTTTCTTTTCAACATTGAAATCTTCAATAAATTTATTCGCCAATTTTTTAACTAAACCCATTTCAAATTTCAACCATGAGGGAAATTGTACATGTTCAAGCCGGTCAGTGTGGAAATCAGATTGGAGCCAAGGTAAGATTATATTTTTTCGCTACTACGTTTTCTAGCACTGGCCGTTATTGTTCAAAAATGGCGCAGTGTGACGATCGCCATTCGTTGACGGGTTTTTCGATTTTGTTTTCTTTATTTCCGTAACGGATTTCTGCTCGTTAAATTTTCAATTGTAATGCTATTTTTTCAACATTTCTTCATTATTAGTGCGTTAAATTATTAATTTTTTTAGGTATTTTATTTTTTTTTAGAGTATTTATCCTCACCCTAAAAAGTTTATTGTTTCAATAAAAAATGTACATGCCATTGGTTTTATTACAAAATGGTTCTTAATAGTATTTTTACTACAAAATGTGGAAACATGATCGAAAAATACTAGTTTTCAAATACAAATACTTAATTAACTCAAAGTATTTAAGATAACGAAAACTGGTACAAAATATTTTTAATATCATTAAATGGCTAGTGTTCCCTCCCCACCAAAAAATTCTCTGTTTTTATACTTGATATAAAATCACTTGGTTTTTAAAAATTAAAAATTAAATAAAAAGGAGAAGTTAAGTAGTTTAGAAAAAAAAAATAATCCATACCACTAAATAAGGAAATATTAAAATTAAAATTAAAATTAGAATATCAGAATACCAACAACAATAACATTTGGAAATAATATAATACAATAATCATTTATTTCTTTAAACAAATAGAATTTAAAATTATCTTATCTTACCCAATTGTATGTTGAGAGTTATGATTTTATAATTTTAATGTATTTCGTTTGTGATGAAACATTTTTACATTCAGTATTAATTATTTTGTATCATATCATCTAATTTATTTGCATTTTTAAGCATAATTAGTCAACTATAACATAATTCTTATGTTAGGTAGGTACGTATATAATATTAAAAAGATGCTTAATTTAAATAATATCTAAGCTTTCTGAAATGTTATTAGTATTTTTGTAATACATAATTTAACAATTATGATTCATTATAATTGGGTAACCAATTTAATTTAATTAATGATAGTAGTTATAATCTTACAATATTTATAATTTAAATCTATGATGAGCTTTTTTATTATTTTAATAATTAGTATCAGATCTATATTCTAATTATTGAATATAAATTCAGGTGCTTGATTATTAACAATTTTTTATAAAAATTTTAGTTCTGGGAAGTCATTTCTGATGAACATGGTATTGATCCAACTGGCTCATATCACGGAAATTCTGATCTCCAGTTAGAACGTATAAATGTATACTATACTGAAGCTCCAGGTACTTATCAAATTTAAAAGAAATTTAGTTATGTGTTTAAATTTTAAATTTTAACTCTTCATTTATAAAAATAAAAGTATTCTACTTACCAATATTATTTTATACAGGTATAAAGTATGTACCCCGTGCTGTTTTGGTTGATTTGGAGCCAGGTACCATGGATTCTATCAGATCTGGACCTTATGGGCAGATTTTTAGACCAGACAACTTTGTTTTTGGACAATCTGGAGCTGGAAACAACTGGGCTAAAGGTCATTATACAGAAGGTGCTGAGCTTGTAGATTCAGTATTAGATGTCATCAGGTATGTATTTTTTTATTAGATTTTCTAATAATTAAACTTTATAAATAATTTGTTATATTATAAGTATATTATAAAACTATGAATGACAGGTTAGGTTATTCTTTTTTTTTTTCTTATACCATTCCTACTAATTTTTCGATTTGAAATAATTATAATTAAATTATTTACTCTATAATTCATATAAATTGTATGATTTTGAAGTATTTTAACCGTTCATTATTTTTTTCAGAAAAGAAGCTGAAGGCTGTGATTGTCTTCAAGGATTTCAACTGACACATTCCTTGGGTGGTGGAACTGGGTCTGGTATGGGAACATTATTGATTTCCAAGATCAGAGAAGAATTCCCTGACAGAATAATGAATACTTACTCAGTTGTACCTTCTCCCAAAGTTTCGGACACTGTTGTAGAACCCTACAATGCTACTTTATCAATTCATCAATTAGTAGAAAATACCGATGAAACCTTTTGTATTGATAACGAAGCTTTATATGATATTTGTTTTCGTACATTAAAACTTACAACACCTACATATGGTGACTTAAACCACTTGGTATCTTTGACCATGTCTGGAGTAACCACTTGTCTCAGGTTCCCTGGTCAATTGAACGCTGATCTCCGTAAACTCGCTGTCAATATGGTTCCTTTTCCCAGGTTACATTTCTTCATGACTGGTTTTGCTCCTCTTACATCTCGTGGAAGTCAACAATACAGAGCTTTGTCTGTACCTGAACTTACTCAACAAATGTTTGATGCCAAAAATATGATGGCTGCATGCGACCCACGACATGGACGTTATCTTACAGTAGCAGCTATATTTCGTGGTCGTTTGTCTATGAGGGAAGTTGATGACCAAATGTTGAACATCCAAAGCAAGAACTCGAGTTATTTTGTTGAGTGGATCCCTAATAATGTGAAAACCGCAGTTTGTGATATCCCTCCAAGAGGTTTGAAAATGTCTGCTACATTCATTGGTAATTCTACATCCATTCAAGAATTATTCAAGAGGATTGGTGAACAGTTCAATGTTATGTTCAGACGTAAGGCTTTCTTACATTGGTACACTGGTGAAGGTATGGACGAGATGGAATTCACTGAAGCTGAATCTAACATGAATGATTTAGTAGCTGAATATCAACAATATCAAGAAGCTACCATTGATGATGAAGGTGAATTTGATGAAGAACAGGAACAAGAAGTTGATGAAAACTAGATTTATTTTTTAAAATGTAGCTTTAGACTTCAATTTTGTTACTTTTTATTTAATACATAAATTCTGTACATTAATTCATCATTTTTTAGTAGTAGAGGTTAAAAAAGGAAAAATAGATTTTTTTTTTAAAAAAATCAGCTTTATAATTTAATTGTTGTGACTTCATTTGAAACTAAAATTCTGTAAGTCAGTCTATTTTTTTATGCTTAATGTTTAATTATTCCATAATGATACTTGGTGTGTTTTGAATTATAATTTTTGAACAGTATAGTTAATTAAAAATTATTACTGTAAAGTTGACAAAAATGAATTGTTCATGTAATATATTGATATATTTTTAACCTCTTCATTTTTATTTATACATGAATTCAATAATTAAATTAGTTGGTATTGAGATTTTTATTTGTTAATCTTTATTCCTTATAATGCTTCTTGGCTTGGAGTTCTTATTATTAATTTTTAATGAATACAAATTGTAATTTAATTATAATTTTAATTAATTTGTTCTTGTTTTAATAAACTTATATTTGAGCATTTTACTTTGATTACTTGATTGAAAGTATTTCATAAATTGGGTAGATCATTCAAATAATTGTTTTCACAGTTAAATGCTTTTTTCCGGGTAATTTATCATTTTAATTTCTTATTTACCTTTCTATTGGAATAAATTATAAATTGTTTTTTTTAGATGGTGATTTTATAGTATGCTATTTGTAACTATTGTAATTATTAATTTTTTTATTGTATATTTTATAGAATTGATGTAGATATTTTAATGGATTTAAAAATGCATATTCTTCAAGTCAATATGTATTTAATTTACTTGATTTTGCTATCTTAACATAAAAAAAAAAATGTAATAATTTCTTTTTGAAGCTATTTAGTTCCTTTCAAAACTGAATGATAGACACAATGATTTGATTAAATTGTCTTAAAATTAATCATTATGGCTAAATAGCAGTAGTTTCCAACCGGTGTGCCGCGATAAATTATAAAAGTATAAGTATATATTTACCAGCTTATTGATATTTGAGATGAAAACTGATTGAACTAATCGTAGATATATATTATTTATTGTAAATATGCCCGTCGCAGCTGTCTCGATCGTTCGATTGTATTAATATATTTCACAATAAATAACCCTCTTATAGAGTAGACTGGTAAATAGTATACATATATATATATATATATAATGGTTCACATAATATGTGGATTGGTGTGCCGCAAAATTTTGTTGGTGATGAAGTGTGCCACATTGTTAAAGAGGTTGAAAACCACTGTTATATAGTCTGTATTTTACTTACCTACATAAATCTTGGTAATACAACTTATACACTAAATTATATGCTGTGTTATTTATAATTCAATAATAGTAGAAAAAACGTATAAAAATATTTAGTATTGACTTTTAAGTTGAAACATATATAATATTACATTGAAGTAAAAAGTATTTAGAAAAAAAAATTATAACTATTCAGAATTCATGACCACACAAACTCCTTTTAAAATCCAAAAGCTCTTGTGTATCAATGTATTTAGATTAGCTTCGAACACACAGTTGTTGCCTATCGAATTTCTTCGTTTTGATGTAACGTACACCGGTATGGTAATCGAACTTTTCGGTAATTTCAGTAGACGCGTCTCTACGGGAACTATAGCCAAAATGGGCAACTTTTCGGGCGAACTGTTTGACGTACATTCGTTTAAACACCGTTTGTTTACGTCCCACATCGCACCTTCCAAATATAATCCGGTGATGTAACATCCCTAAAAACGAAATAGTGTTATGTACACCATAGTATATTATATTATTATTATTATTAACATTTATATATATATATATATATGTATTAATATGTGGGGATAAATGCTGACTATGTATTTGTCCATTTTATACGTACACGCCTGACTATCCGGCATCGAGTAGTCGTGTAACAGCTAAGCAGTAGTGTATTAGTTCTCGTGAGTGTATAAATATTTTAATAAGCGACTCAATAAAACAGTGAGTTAGTTTTTTATATTAATGGTGTGAATTAATAACTTCCACGTTGACTCCAAATTAGCGAACTCAAAACGTTACTTGTGATCGGCGGAATTAACTGAACCGATCGCAGAACCCGAGCTTACGGACGTAACCGAGAGGCTCACAACAATAGTATCAACTATGGTACAGTTATTGCCAGATAAATTGAGACGGCGGCGGTGGCGCTTCTCATGAAGTGTAGCTCAAACTAGTCGCTGGCAGTGTGGTGCAAAGGTCACACAGTTGGCTACGACGCGTGCAGTCACCAGTTCGAACCCGGTGTAATAATGTTAAACTGTGAAAAATATTTCTCACTCTGTGATAAAAAAAAAGTCACAGTGAAAATAACAGTGATTGCTACTCTAACTGCCACTTTCTATTTTTCACGTACTTATGGCGAATCACATTATTGCTTTACACCATAGTAATAATAGTAATAATTAGTAATATTATTACTAATTATATTACTTATTATATTATTACTAATTACTAATTATTACTAGTAATAATAGTACTCTATGCTTTACACTATCAGAATATCACAGTAATCCATAGAGTTAGAATACTACTCTATTTACTATTTAGTCGTGATATCAGATAATATTTACCTAATGTAAATGTGATATAATATTAATCATCATTAGGGCTCTAGGACTTCTAGGAATTTGCATGTTTTTAAATAATTATCAAAAACATAGCCTCTGAAACATTTGAATACAACCCTGTCTGTGCACGATCTATGAATATAAGGAGGGGGTTGATATGATGAGCTAAATATAGTAGAATATAGCTACAAGGGCTATCGGATAAATAAGATACAAAATAATACATTGAAACGTATTATAGAAAAAGGAAATGGGAAACTGCTGCATGACAATGCAACCCCAAATTAAACGGTTAAAATCAAAGATTGGTTAAAAAAATACAAGTGGGAAGTATTGCACATTCACCATATGGCCCTAATCTTCAGGTTTTTTTTTATTTGGTCTGTTAAGAAAACACTAAGGAGGAACTCGTTTACTAAATGAGTTTATGAACGCAGTTACCGAGAACTTTGATGGAAAATGTGTTGCACATTTGCGAGAAGGCATTTTCAATTTCCTCCATCGTTAGGAAAAATAAATCAGTATGAATGATGACTATGTAGAAAAATATAAAATATGTATAATTTATTGTTTAAAAGTTTTAAAGTAATATATTCATTTTTCATTATTCAGTATATTTTTGTACCTCATTTATCGGGCGGCATTTGTCAGTAGATAATTTGGGCAGACATTTAAATAATGAAGGATTAAAATTTAAAAATTATAAATTTGAGAATTATTGATAATATTGAAGTCCGAAGCAACGTTGGTATGAGATAGTTTGGGATGAAGTTTTACATCTAAAATGGTACATAAACTATATGTTTTATTATAATTTGTTATTTCCATGTCTCGCAATATTATTTGTTATCGGTATCATAGGCGGACCCAAAGTGATACATTTGAGTGTGCCCTGTCATTTTTTGGTTATTTTTTCAAAATATAAAGAAGATGCAATAAACACGTACGTGTAGTCCATGTTATGATTTAAATTCTAAAAATAAATGCTTCGTTAATGATGTAAAATAACGATTGGTAAAAAATACACGTAATTATTATTTCAGACTTATTCTGAACACTTGCAATATTACTTACAAAAAATTAAAATTTAATTAATGTGTATGCACATATAACATCAATTGTAATTATTCAATTTTTTTATTCGCATTATTCACATTAGGGTGTGCCAAGGCACACCCCGTAGAGCCGCCTATGATCGGTATAATGTATTCAATAGACGTGCAAGAGCATATTATAATTGAATAAATTATCTAAATTATTGATTTATTACGAAAATCTTGTTGGTTTTATATTATTGTAAGGTGTCCCATTGTCATATTCCCTGAGATAATAATGACATTCAAATTATTTGTTTTTATATGAACTACAAGGGTTACAAATGTTCATATTTTATTTTTATTTTTAGGTTTTTGGTAATAAAAATTAAAAAATAATCTTTTTACTTGAATATAATTTCTGAAAATTTTGAAGGTTGCCATTTTACTGAGATGGTTCTTTTGTAAATTTTAATGTCTTATTTAACTTTTTCTTCATTAACCTCATATTTTTGATAAATATATTTTTAGTTTTCTGATAGTTTCAAAATATTAATTTGATATTAAATTTTTTTTGGTGAGGATGATGTAAATAAAAAGTTGAGAAGTCAAAATATTCAGAAAAATTAAACTTACAAATAGCTATATTGACAACTGGTATTTTATAACAACAAGTTAGGTTATCATGATAATAATAGCAACATTTTTGAATTCATCTAGTACATTATATTAAACTGCAAGTTGTATTCGATGGGTTATAACTCTTCTGAAAATTATTAAATATTAATAATATTGTAAACTTACAGCGTCTGGTTCTCTTTGGACTTCACTTTCACACATCCATTGTGTTACGGATGTATAAAATGTACAATGCTCTATTGGCCAACCAAATTTTCTACATGCTAACTGCATTAATGACGTGAGGTATGATTTCGGCGCGTGTAACCCTGACAGCCACATGACCAAGGGTTCTCTGATTTGGCTCTATAAGAAATCCGTACAAAGAATATAGTATTATGATTTAAAATGTTTAACATTGATCTGATTTACGCGCGGAACCGGTAAGGATGATTGGTTAATTAATTAATTAATTTTTCCAATCAACGGTTTGTGCCCTTTGATTACAACGAGATAGTTAGAATATAATTAATAATAGACATTATTAAAAATAATGATATATAATATACATAATATTATAAAATTTACTCACCCAATTCGAATACTGAAGTGTGCGCTTCGTTAGGTGTTCTATGTAGCGCCCTAATGGTTTTACAGTCTGTGGTGATACTTTGATCCAACAAACAGGGACGCGACCGGTGTACAGGCATGTAGAGACATCTTCTAAAGTTGAATTCATTTCTACGCTCCCCAGAAACACCTATTGAATTAAGATAAAATATTTCACTTAATGTTATATGCATATATCATTAGATGATATTCATGTGTACTTAGGTGCTCTTTATCATAGTATATTTTCTTTTCAAATATTATCTTTTTTGACCGTCTCGCAGGCCTCTAGATTAATTATTTTATCACATATTATAATATACGAGTAGCACGCCGTGGTGGCATGTTGAACATGACATTTTTCAGTGGCAAGTTTAAATATTCCACCCACCCACTTAAAACCCACCGAAAATTGTGTACGTCAAGCACGGATACTGTGATTCGCAACCACAAACAACATTTTTCAACCACACTTCTAAATCCCGAGGAAATTGCCTCTAAGAATTACATTTCATCAATGTATGTGATAGAAATACTTAGTCAGTAAATATTGTATAATAGGCAACCATCTACACCACATTTAACACACATAATATATATAAATAAATTATATGTTTTTGATGAGGTCCCATATTTTATAAATTTAACTTTTTTTATCATGTTGAAAAAAAACAAAATAACTACTGGACGGTTGTTTTGAAAAAAAGAACAATAGCAAAAAAAATAATAAATAAATGTATGTTTTTGGTGTACCTTTGAAAGTTGTGTAAGAGTATTCCTCATTACGTCTAATAATGCATTGAATTTTTCAAGTTCTTGAAGCAAAATAATTATACTAGGATTAGTACATTTATCTCCGTAAAACGTTTTCACTTTTTTCATGTTGAAAACTTCAGGGAGTGATTTTAAAATGTCTTCAGTAATATTTTTGACAACTTCGTCCCAATCAGTATTTTTACCGTAAGTTGTATTAACATTTGGATGAAGTCTTGTCATGTCTGCCCATAGAGTATAGACTAAATTATTGTGGTATTCAAACAAAACGTTTGCGTTTAATCCACAGACTTCTGGATTTATAGACGACGGGATTTCATTAATCGCCTCTAAAACTATAAATTAATTAATTAATTAATAAAATTCAATAAAATATAATAAGTGATTGTATGATTTTAATCGTGAGTGTATTTTTTAAAACGTAGAATTGTATAGAAATTTTTAATAATACCAAACTATCATACCTATTTATTCGTAACACTATTCATTTTTTTGATGAATAATTAAAATTTACTATCACCGAGTATATTTTGCTGTGAAATATCAAATTTATTTTCCATTGATCAGAAATTGGGATCAGTTAGTTAAAATTGTTAGTATAAAATTTCACATTAAGCCTTGTAATTATTATTGTATTAACTCTATAATATTTACCATATAATTATAACCCGGATTTATATGCATTTGCATGTTTTTACTAAGTATATGCACGTCTATGGAGGTTTAAAATAAATGTCCACGATTCATATCACACTGAATTTAAACACCAAATTTTATATTGCATATTTTGCATATTCGTTCGTAAATGTTATAACATGCATACTTAATGGGTTTTAAATAAATTAAAAATTTTGTTTTTTTTTTAAGTTTTCTATTTGTTTTTTGAGAGTTGGTAACTTCAAATGATCTAAAATATTTATAAAATCTAAAATATTTATTTTTAGTTTTTTTTTTTGTTTTTGTTCTCGTTTTTAAGTTTCCTAAAAGTTTTAGATTGATTTAAATTATTTTAAATATAAAGTAGTGGATATTATCATTTTTTTTTTTTTTTTTGATAAAATATTTAGGATTTTATTTGATATAAAAGTGTGATTTTTTTTAATGTAACATAATGCATATAATTGCATATTTAGGTACTTTTTTTTTGCATATTTGCATCATATATGACACTTTTTAAATGCATATAAATCCGTGCTCTATTTATATTTATAATATTTATATGTATTGTATAAATCTCACCTTTTAAGTTACTGTAGCGCTCATCACATTTTAGCAATTTTTTTTCCATTTCTATGTATTTTAATGATTTAGAATCATTTCTGCAATTAGTATAAAAGCTAAATGGTTGATAAGGATTACAAATAAAATCACCAAAATATTCTTCCACGTATGTTAAGAGAATTTTGCGATCATAGCTATCAATCACTTTTCCTCCATATATGATTTCACCAATTAAATATTTTAAAGCGGCCCAAGGTATTTCTTCATTTTTACTTTTATTCAAACAGATACTAATTATTTGTTGACTCATAGCATAATCAGAGTAGTCGAAACTGTACAGTAAGTTCCATCCTGTTTTTTTGTACTTTGCACGTTCCTGAAATAAAATCGGTCATCATAAGTTAAATTAGTTGGATTTAATTTTAATTAAGTTTTAATCGAAAATATTTTACTGATAATATTCCATGAAAAAATAGAGATCCATAGAGCAATGATTCGAAAAATGGACTTGGATGTTTATCTTGGTAGTATAAGTTACATTTTTCAAAAGCATTCTGCATGCTAATTTTCATATGATTTGACGGCTCAACAATAACTAATTTTATAATAATAACGTTAATTTTTAAAATGAACTACATGTTAACAAATAGGTATTATATGGTAAGTTACCTTTTAGCGATCTGAGCAAAAGAGAAGTGGGAAAAGATTTAATTTTTATTGAATCTTCATTAAATATGAGCCATAATCTAAAATTTGGATTCCAATTCTCATTCGCTTTCCCTAGTAAATATTCAATTTTATAAAGAAAACGTTCTGAAAAATTACAGTTTTGTACAATTAACCAATTGCCCCGATCCAATGCTGATTGTAAGGCTAAATAAATTACCTATTGAAATAAATAATAATTCAATATTATAGATATATATATATACTTATGAAACTGCAGTTTACTTATTCCTAAACAATAATACATACATTTTCTTCGCTAGTTCCTAATGACAAAACTTTGAACGTAGGACCAGTTATATCATTTTTTTCCGCTATATTTGTTAAATCTTTTGCCGGATCCGACCCATTATTCAATATTAATATACACGGAGTTAGATTTGAAAATTTTTTGTGTATCGAATCAAGGCTAGAAATTATTTTTTAAGTATAAAACACATAATTGTTATTGTATAGTTAAGCATATTGAAAATATTTATGATTTTATGCATTTCATTTTTATAAATACAATTAAAAATAAATGTTTTTTTGCTTGAATTACTGTAAGCAATGACAAATCCTATGTTGTAAGAAAATTATGTAAGATATTTTATAATATATTTACTTTGTTTTCTTATTGTGGATACAATTTTCATTACTAATTCCCATTATTTGATAGATGTAATTTTCAATAGCTTTATACACTCGATCAGTTCGAAAACATCGTATTAGCATCAAAACTTCAAAGTATTTATTCATTTTGATAGGTATGCTAGTTTCAGTTTCCGGATATTCTGAACAATACCACTAAAATAAAACATTGTTTTATAGTTGACGTAATTTAAAAAACTTCGGGAAAATTGGTAAATATTAGAACGTACGTAGTAATTTTTTTTGTAGGTTCTCGAGGGATTTTATAGATAATATTTACTTTAATTATGAATTTAATATAAAGATCTAATACTTTAAAGTGATTGTAGTTTAAATTTTATTAGCAAAATATTTAAGTTATAATGCCACGTAAATAATACCATTTTTAAAGTTAAAATCTAACTTATATTTACTTATTCGTTAATAACACGAAAAAAAAAAAAACAATTAAAGTTTACCTCTTCCCATATTGTACTGTTATTTTGAATATGTTCAATCAGATTTGAGAAATGTTTAAAATTTGTGTTCAAGTTAACAACATGTTGCCAACATTTATTTGATAACCATGTTGTTGGATTTTTTACGCTGACTTTTTCTGCGTTTATATTACCTTTGATAAAAAACGCTAATTCAGTATCCAATAATTTTCCTGCGTCTTTGTCCAACATGCATGCCATTTGAAATAAAAACAATATATTGTGTTTTTCATAAATACTGATACAACTAAATTCGAAAACACAATCCGTTAGATGATCGATAATATTTGATATTCTGTTCAATACAGTTCGGCTTTCTTTTGACGAATTTATTGAATTTAAAAACAATGCCATGAAAGAATCGATCGAAAATTGATATAACGGATCTATAGATTTTAATTCATAAAGAGACATGTAAAATAAAGCGCCTTTTTTCGATACCAACTTATAAACATCTCTTGACTGATAAATTGAAGACATCGATTCCATAGATGATTCTAATTCTGTAGAACTCATGTTGATTTTTGATTTAATATTTTCGAGTTTATTTAAAAGTTGTAAATTATCAATCAAAGGTTCGGTACAGCTTATAATTTCTAATAAAAAAGCATTTTTATATTTTTGAAGTGTTTCTTTATTTTGATGGATTTTTTTTTGTGTTAATTCTTTCTTGTCTTCTAGGTATTTTATTTCATGTTTGACTACTAACTTATGTAGTTGATCTTCCAACCCCTAAAACATACGATGATAAGAAACTGGTCATATGGCTTAATGTTTAGAAATTAAACAGAGATTTGTTAGGGCAATATTTCTTAACAATCTGAAATAATTAAAATTTATGTTTTAATTTAATTTGTACTTATATAAAATGTAATACATATTTTCAAATAGTACTTTGGGGTCATATTTGATCAAATCAATTGTGCATGCAATTTTGATAGTTGATTATTTTTATTATAGCCAATAATGATATTATTGTTATTTGATAATTTAACATATAAGTATCGAGGAAAAGCATGTGTGCATCGATATTTCATAGATTAGCGCAATTATAGCTAATACGAGAATAATTGATAAATTATAAACATTTTATATATTTATCAGTAAAAACTAAATTCATACCAATTTTATAGTTAAGTTATTTAAGTTTATTTTTAGTTTTTTAGTTATTCTTTATATTAAAGTTTATTTATAATAATAAATTAATAATACTTACTTCCTGAGTTATGGAACAATTTATTACAGTCATATTCGAGTGTATAAATGTAGTGATTTTTGGATTGGATTGTCTAGTCATCAAGTACAATCTAAAACTTTGATTATATTTACATTTTTCATCTTCAATCTCAATATACTCAGAATTTAATGAGTTCACTAAGGATAAAATATAATAGCATTACATATAATAATTATCGCGTCATTTATGTGTGTTATAAAGAAATCTTTCACAAAATATTTACGTACATCGTACATTTATACTTAGTACATTTTTTAAATCCAAATCCATGTTTTCGAAATCAATAAAAATGATTGGTGTTCCGTATTTGATAGCTTTTTTTAATTGCACTAAATAATCAGTGTCAACAAATGAGAGTACTCTTAATGAATTTTTTTTTTCGTGAATTTTAACCCAATTAAGTCCTTGGTTATGCGGATCAATACAAAGAGGAAATCGATTAGATTGACTCATTAATATACCATTCTGAATGGAGTATTCGTCACAAGGTAAGCCATTTGAACTCCAACTATTGGTGTAAATATAAAATAAAAAATAAGAATTATATAAAAATTAACGATACAATTTTATACTATAATAATTTTTCATTTACTGAATATAATTTCTGTTAATCTTATCAATAAAAATTATTGGTTGTAAATTAGCACAATATATGTTTATAAAACAAAAAGCTATTGAAGGTATGAAGTTTTGAATTAACACACTTACTCGTACATCACTTTTTCATCAATTAATTCATTTTCTAGCTTATAGTTCAAATCTATTGGTATATTTAATTTAATAATATTGTTGTACCACTCATCAAAAATGATTTTTTTCCGATATTCTAGAGAAAATGGACCTGCATAGACTAAAAATGAAGCATTGAGTAAGCAGTTGCCGAATATTTGAATTTTTAAAATATTTTGGTTTTCTAGATCTGTAATCCATCTAAAAGATACCGGTATTCGAATGTAAAAATATAAAAATAAAAATATTAAATATCTATTTAATATTTCAGGGCTAATAGTTCTAACCTTTCATGTACAGATTTAAGTTCTTTTATTAGTTTGTCAGCATATTCAAATTTCGCTTTTAACAAACAGTTTTTTTTTTTTAACTCAACATTTTCCTTGGAAACATCATCTAACGATTTTTCTAATTCTATTAATGTGCATCGAGTATTTTTTAAACTATCTTCGTGTTCTTTTATCTTTAAAGTTGCATCGAGATATTCTTTTTCTGATTTATCTACTTTATTCCTTATTGGTATGATATCATGATAAATTGAACAATATTTTAGAACTGATTCAATAAAATTTAATAAACTACTCTCCAACTTGCTAATGACTTGAACATCAATTGTTTTTTTCAAAAATTTCACCTTTGTACGTATTTGAGTTTGTTGTCTTTGATTAATTTTATTGATATCGAGTTCTTGTAAATTTATTAGAAAATTCGGATCTTCGATCATATCACATAGGTTTTTCCACGAGTTCATATCTTTAAGCCCTTTTAATATAGCTACGCATTCAAGTAAAGTCATAACTGACTCAGTAGGCGCATCAAAAGATCTAAAAAAATATTTATCAAAACATTAATTTTGTAGGTAGCTAGAAAAAAAAAATTAATTGTACCATCTTACAAAATGAATGACATCTTACTTTAATTCTATTAAGTCTTCTACGTTAATTTCGTTTAGTAGACTTTTAGTAGTATTTAAAACAGGTAAAGTAGTATCGATTAAATTTCTCATTTGCTCTTTTAAGTTTGTTATTTGTTCGTTCTTGTAACTCAATTTCTCAGTACTATTGTTCACAATAGTTACTATTTCTTCAACAAGTATACGTGTACCATTGATTTCTTTTATAAGATTTTGACACATTTTGGTGTTCTCTAATATAGATTTATCTTGCTGAAGTAATGTATTACTTATTTTACCAAGTTCAATGGTACTTTGGTCAATTTTTTCTAACCCATTCTGAATTTGTTGAGACTATAAAAACCAAAACTTAATTATCTTAACTCAATAAAAACTAAAAAAGAACCATTGTAATTAATAAACTTATAAATTAACAATAATACAGTGTTCGAAAAATCAAAAATTAATAATGTTAGATAGTCTTTTTTAAAATACATCATATTTCATTTTTGAAATAGGTATATACTTTTTTCTAAATGAGCTTATTTATTTATAAGTATAAAAAGTACATTTAATTTAAAAAAGTATTTTGTACCTTCATTAACGAAAAAGTTGACTTTTTTTTAACTAGATCTTTGTACATTAATACACAATCAACTAAATGTTTAAATGTAAAACAAATTTTGCGTGTAGTGTGTTTAAAAAACGTTGCCGCGTAGTTGACTGCGGATTTATGCATATAGACGCACTGTTCAATTACATTATTTATGTAATTATCTGAAACAACTTGATCCTAGAAATAAACAAATTTCAATATATATTATATAATAAGACTTATAAGATTGCTCATATAGGTACATTGGCGTGGTGATGATATTATTTTGGAGCAATAGCTCCTTCGAAATATTTTGTATGTGGGTGGCCCCCCTGCCAAAAAATACTTAACAATAAGTATAACAATAATATAGATACATCATAATGTCATATTAAATGTTTGTAATTAGCGCACAAATGTACTGTACATGATCCTTTACATTAGAAATAATTGGTGCTAACTAATTGCAATACCAATGGTAACAACATTATTCAAATTTACACACACTGCATAGATCAAGATATAAGATAATTAATGAGGTGTAATAAATTTACTAGATAATTAATTAAGTACATCTGATTATACAAATCAGTCTAATATACGTATATTTTTTAAATTGTAAATGTTTTGTTGTGGTGGAAATGCCGTTATGATGAATAAAGGGTACCTTATGGTGTATACATTTTTGCTCTATGTAAGAAAATAAGTTCAACACGCTACTGTATAGGTGTATATATTATACAAGTTATGTGGTATGTTTTATCTTAAGTTATAAAATCACGTGTAGAAACTGTGATATAAGAATGTTGAATATATTTTAAGCGTCATAAATGGCACAGAAATTACATTTAATATTAAATATTACAGTTTTGTTTATATTTATTTTTATTTAATTATGATTATTATTTTAACGATGCACAAAATTATGTAAATATCTTACATTAATTAAAACTTTTTCCGCTACTGCGTTCAGTGCTTCCAGAGGCCATTTTTGAATCCAACCAATGTAAGTTTTATTTATGAAACCAGGATAATTTCGAAATATTAATCGAAGATTATTATCTGGTGACATCAACAGTACAATGTGGAGATTATCCAAACAATTTTCCAAAAATATATCCCAACAAATGTCCCTGAATTTTATAATAAAATCACATAGAAGATTTTAATGCTATTGTAAATGCATATTCATCTATTTGTGCACTTACGTAGTGATTTCATTAGATGTGCTTATATTATTCATGTCTTTAAAACGCTGAATTATTTCCAAATTATCTTCTAGGTCGGAGTATAAAGATGGTACAAATCCATTTGTTAATATATTATTGATAAATTCTAAATTTCCTAAAAATTACAGTACTAGAATTTAAGATATTGTTTTATAAATGCAAAATACGTATTAAACAGATACAATTATTATGATCTATACAAGTACAAATATTTGAACATTTTGTACATTTCTATTGATTTAACGATTTTTTAATAAAAACCGTCTATAGACGGTATAGCAAAACAGATTGAAATATTTAAAGTCTTACAAGTTTGTAAAATGCAAGGTAAAAATAGAAAAGAAACTTTCAGCATTAAAATGTTGCGATTATTATTTAAATAATTAATTATATAATATTTTATTACCTTCTTCGATCACATTGTCAATTATAAAAACAATAGATTGGTTCTGAATTCCAACTTTCAAAAAAATGTTTTTTAAATCATTTTTAAATTTTTGTTCATTCATTTTATAATTATGATTAGAATGAAACGAACTGTTTACAAATATTTCAAACCCTAAAAATATACAATCGATTTAGAATAACAATATAGAACAAATACTGCTTTATTGGTATAATAATAATCATATAAAAGATGCATATTATTCCTAATTATACTTCCCGATGATTCAAAACATGTATTTGTGGTTACAATTTATATTAAAAAATAAATAAATCATTACTTATACGTTGGTGAATTATTTTGAAATCAATCTGTAATGCAGAATAAAATTACCAGAAGTGAATGCGGCTAATTTCGAAAGGGATTTTTTTCCATTTCCACTCGAACCAATTAACAAAACATGACCTCTATCCATCCTGAGATTTCGATGAATCCTTATCAAATGGTCTAGCGCGTCATTGAAAAGTACCATGTCTAATACGCCATAATATTTTTTATATTCCAATAATATCTATGAAATGTTTTTAAATTGTTGTTATCAAACCCTTTCGAATAGTGATCCGAATTCTTACTTCTTGGAATAAATAAAACACGGATTCGTAGTCGATCAAGTCCTCGTATATTCGTTCTTGGTCGTTTGCATTAATGGCATTTCTACAATCGCCGAATAAAAGAGGATTCCTAAGAACGTATTCCATTTGTGCAGGAAAATACGTCTGCAATTCTTGAGTGAGGTAATTTTCAATAATTTCCCGATCCTAAAATGTACAGTTAGCATGTCTAATTCTATCCGATAGAATCTATTGGTTCTGAAGTTTAGTAATATTAACTCACTAATAACCGTAAATATACTATTTATAATAACTATTTATATTTTTAATACAAATTAAATTCTCAAAAATTCAATCATTATTGTATTTTATAGGAATTGGAAAAGATGTAGTTTAGTTTTTAAATTTAATTTAGAATTGAAAGGTAATTTATTATAGTAATTACTTTTTGATAAATCAACCGATCACATATTACTCGGGTGAATTCATTTCTCCAAACTCGAACGAATGATTCCGTTGTTGAAAATGCGCTGGGTAATGTGCGAGTCATACCATTAATGATACAACTTATATGACATAAATTAAAAACATAAATGAATTTTTCCGGTGTTTGATGTAGTTTCTTGAGAACTAACTATAATTAATATCACAAAAATGTTTTTATTAATATAATTGTAATTTGGTATGTAATGGACATTTACACGGATCGTTAAAAAATCATTATTATTTTTTGAAAGAACTATTATTCAAAAATCAGTTAATTATAACCGATTTTTTTTTTTTTTTTTGTAAAAAGTTAGGTATAAGTAAAAATTAATAGAAAAAAAATCTAATATAATAAAGCAAAGTTAATTGTTACTTAAAACAATTAAATAGTTAAGTACTATAAGATTACAATAATACGAATATTCAAAATAATAAAAAACAGGGAAAAAAGACTAAAATGTATATTTTGTTTAATATCAAAGAATATAATTAATATTAAAAGTATTCCGTGTAAATATGACACATTTATACAATATATACACATTAACAGGAATACCTTATATAAATTTATTGTTATGTCTATAATGTTGTTAACCGTAGATTGTATGTTTTCTGTAAACGATTTTGTGTGACCAGATAGAATCGAACTGAAAGTATATCGAATTGTTTCGTCCGACGGGGAAGGTAACGAAAATATTGAACATAAAGACAAAAAACGTGCATCTAATTCATTTCGCCCTCCTCCTATGGGGCTCATAGCTGCGAAAAAACCTGAAATCAAAATGGTAAAGTCTTCTATAATGTTAAGAATTGAACGAATCAAACAATTCATAGTATACATTTCATACGTACATATGTCTACGAGTTCTTTCCAGTTAAAGCATTTCCGTCGGTCATACATGCCTTGTTTATCAAATATACTTTTCAATAATGCAATGGGCTGCTGTGTACCACATTCATCTATCTGAAAATTAAAATTAAAAACACCTACGCTCGAATATATACCACATTTTATAAAAATCAAAAGCGTCAAATTAATTAATAAATATATATACATTTTGAAATGCGATATATTGGCTTTCACTATAAAATTGCATACGTCCCTTCTTTGAACATTAATTTCGAACACAATTACACTTGCACAGATATATACATACTTGAGGTAAGTTTAAATCGTCTATGAAATAAACCAATCGTTTTCCAATCGGTGGTCCGTATGTTTTTCTCGAATGTCTTTCCAAATTCGTTTCTAAATTTTTTTGAACATCCAATGACGAAGTTCTAGCCGAAAAATTTAATGCTCTTTTAATCTGGAAATCATTATATCTAATTAGGTTTTACGTATGTTAGGTAAATTCATGATATAATAAATTAGGTATGATATCAACAGTCGTATTTTAGTCTCATGTTTGCGCAAGTAGGTATGACGCAGATCTTTCACCACTTCTCATTGGTTCACCTATTATTATGACTTCAAACTCTTTTGGTGGAAACTTGAATGGCTCGTTTTTATCACAACTTTTTTAGTAAAAATATTTAGTTATTAAATTAGTGTTACATAAAAATCTCGATAAAACGAAATCGCTTGGGACCATGATATTTTTCCGTGTTAACGAGGTTTCCGTCTTGACGGGATTAGTTAATTGTATGTAATTTGAAACAGGACCAAAAAAATGTTCCGTTATACCGAGGTTTCCGTCTTACCGAAGTTTCGTCTTATCGAGGTTTTACTGTAATACTAATTTTTCATGTTATTAATCTTTAATAAATATTATTATTTTAAATAAGTAAATTTTCTAATATTTAAAATATGAAATAATTAATTAATTATAAGTATATTTAATCATACTTGACAATAATTTGACGAGTTAACATGGTCTGTGCTTATCAAAATAATATAATATACAGCCATTGAAGAACGATTAAAATCCGACGCCATATTGCACTGTTAAAATAATTGATGGTGGAAGAGGAGCACGCGTATTATAAAGCTGTGCATTATATCTAGTTTATTGTACCATGGGTACATCCATTGGCGTATATAGGTTTTCATTTCTGAGGGGACCGATTATGTATTTGATTTTTGGGTGGAAAGGAAGGAGGAAGCACACTATTACGAAAAAAATTACTTCGACATTATAAGACTTCTCGACAGTCTTTACACCATCAGAAAAATAAGAAACTCAATTTTTTTAATGATTTATTATTTTTTAAAAGTATAAAAACTACATTGTACTCGTAATAAACAAATTTTTTATTAGAGTCACTCAAAATTCACCACATATTTTCTTAAAAGAATAAACATATTTTATAAATATAAAATTTTAAATTATCGTATAAGCAACATTCTCAGTGTCGCGACAAATTTTCGGAAACCCCCAGCATTAAGACATATCCATGTTAAAAATAACAATCTTTAACAATGGTGTTTTTCATTTCGGAGGGGGCTCGGGCCCCCTCGGCCCTCCCATAAATACGCCCCTGGGTACATCAATATCGATTTTTTCTATTATTAAAATAAAAAATATTCTAAAATTAATTAATCTACAGTTTTCACTTTATTGGTCATGTTCATTAGAGGTTGTTTTTTATATAACCGATGAATTAGTTAATTTATTTTGTATTTGTATTAGAAACTAGAAAATAAATGTTTGGTAAATAGTTCACTAATTAAACCACAGAGAGAGATATTTTTAGCTTAGTACTTAAGATATAATATAAAAATTATATTTACATAATATTTTGATTCCAAATTACGTATGAAATATTTCATTATAACTGTTTTTCCAGAACTCATCTCGCCTACGACAATAGTTGGCCGTTTGACCTAAAAAATAAATAGTCATGATAATTTTGACGAATTTACAATGAGTTATAACGAACGCAGTTTTTTCTTTTGTTTTTAATTTATGTAAAATCATGATTTAATTAAATATTTACCTTTTTGAATATTGCACTTCTAAAATAATACTGAAACGAAATTAAATTAAAATAAATTAATATCACGTTAACAGTGTTAAAATACTGTATCGCATATTGCCAATGATCACGTAATTCATACTTCATTGATCAATTTCAATATCCATATTAATCTAGTAGATTCCACGGTCGGCACTAGAATGTCGTAGAATTTAACCGTGTCGTTATGTTCGTATTCCGGAACCGCCTTCTTCCACGCTATCCACTCCAATGTGTTGAAATCTAAAAAGTAATCGTACCAAGTAGGCTCGTCACAAGGTATGTATTTTAAATCTTTTTTGCTCGACCGGTTACGGTCGTTTTGAGTAAAAGTGGACAGTTTTTTGACCGTTTCGTCGAACGTCTGGCGAGACGTGTTATCGGTCAGTAATGCTCCTAGAGACAAATACAACGCTTGTATGAACACGGCTTCGATTACTCCCATCCCGGCGACGAACGAGATCATCGAGTTTAACGGGATGGCCATGTCATTGCCGGTCATCGTGATTCTTTTGCGGTTAACAGTCTTGACTGCATTGTTGTCCGACGAGACCAGCGGTAATATGGTGTCCAAAATGAAACACAGCTGAGTGATCTAGAACAGTAGGAAATGCAAGTTTAATGTCACGTTGTCTAACGAAAAGATCACGTTAACTCGTGCTTCCGTTACAATATAATCACTACTCATTTCATATACGCGTACCATGTTCAGTTTCGTTTGCGGAACAGTAGTTTTCAACGGGCACGATTTCCTTGAACCGTTTCCGTTTCCGAAAATCCAACTCAACAGCACGGGCACGTATTTTTGAAAACATTGATCTAATGCCGTTTGTTCCATCAAACATCGTGGTTCTAACCATCGCAACCAAAACGGCTTGAAACCAAGTTTATCGGGATCGACGTAAACTATACCCATTCTGGAAACAGTAGATGGAGCTGAATACGACAGGTGTCCGACTTCAAACAACATGTTACACTGCGGTTTTATCCTATAAAATATTGTGGGGTAAAGTTTCTAACTTTTTAACGTATATTATATACAAGTTATTGTATAGTAAAAATAAGTAATCTTGATACTATATTTCTTTAGGTACTTTATGTTTCGTACATTTTATAATTAACTGTCAAACAATTTTACGAATGATTAAAATTATTCAATTACAAATTAAAACTTATCTTGATAAAGGCAATTTACGTTTTTTGATCACCAGTTGATAAATGGAATATGGTTTCACATAATTTAATTATGATAATTATGTATTATATCTAAAGTAATGTGTTAATTTGTATTACATGAGTGTTGTATGCTCAACTTACCTTATTTTTTCTCCATTCGATAACGTCAACATTTTATTGTCGTCCATCACAGGATTTAAATCATTCATCCAAATCGAGTCTATATCACCATCGAATAAAATAAAGTAGTTTGATTGGTTATTAGGAACAATTGGTTGATTAATGTTTCGAAAAATATTTGTTAATAATCCATCGTTCCAGGAGTTCGTTACTGGATCCACGTAACCGAACAGTTCCAATTTCGTAAAAGCTTTTGGATTCAAAGTGACAAGTTTCGTCGATATTTTTAAATGATTTAACGTTTCACAGAGTAAATTTATTACGACAGATTTCCCTCCACAGGTAGGTCCTATTATCGCGACCGAATTTCTATGCTTTAATGTTTCCATGATCTGGTTAATTTGTTCTAACTGACTATCAATTTTTATGAATTTTTCTCGTTTCAAAGCAACTTCAATGGCTGAATTGAAATCACTGTTTGTTGTTATTAAATACTCCACATTTGGAAACAAATCCGATATAAATGACAAAAATAGTGGTATATCTTTTTCGATTAATTTGGGTAAGTTTAAATCTCTATAAATAATCAAATGAAATGGAATAAATATTTTATTGATGATTAACTAAAATAATTTTTATTTGGGGTGTCGTGACCAAGTGGATAAGGGTGCTTTTTGGACGGGACTATCGTCCTGTAAGAAGAAGCCGATCCCCTCAACCAACTATTTCAAAATTAGTTTACTCAATTGTACCACAATCATAACTGTCGTGGATAGTGATAATTAGGGAACGGATTTATATGTAATAAAAATACATAAATATGTACATATGTATGTAAGTATAATTTTTAAAATATGTACTAAAACCATCCAAATATGTAGGAAAAAAATTTAAAAAAAAAAAAATTATAATTATTAAATTATCAAAATGATTTGTTGCATTGAATTATTACAATATATTTTAAATTATCAAATATTAAATGTCGCCTATTAAATCTGAAAATATTTTTAAAACGGCTAAATGATCGTTCCACATCAACCTACATCGGTTGATTTAAGCATATTTGAAAGGCATAATATTAGAAGGCGATAATTCCAAATTTTTAGAAGGGTGTCTGCCACTAATTATGTCATTAATTGGTTTAAAATCAATATGGCCTGAAATTTTTTCTGTAAAAACATGAATTTTCTTTTTTACTACTTCTCCTATTGGTCCGTTTACGAATTTTCATTTTGCAATCGTTGATTCGACAATTTGCATACTTTCATTCAAGGACATATTTTTGTTTCTAATTTTGTAATTGTATGTGCAATAAAACTAAAATTCACTAAGATGAAAATTAAATTTGTTTTCAATGTTTCATTTTGCATAATATTTTGAGCTTTTCTAATAGCGATAAAAGTTCTGGATCTAAATTTGAAATAATTTTTTGTATTTTTGTACGAAGAAGACGTATGAATGATGAAATAATAAAATATGTTTAAAAATATTTACAAATTAGTGAAATATGTAAAAATATGTAATTATACCAAAATATGTAAAAATATGTAAAATAAAAGTAGCATCATATTAATAGGAATGATTTAAATCATGAACATTTCTTATCAAATTTTAAATATCTCGTTTTAATAAAAATATGTATTTACATATAAATCCGTTCCCTAGTGATAATATTAATAGTAATATTCTGTACAAATGTGGCTTAAGAGAACGCAACACCAAAAGTAAAAAGTACACAACGACCGATAGAACGCGCTATTAGGTGTTTTCAAGAAGCGCAAGCACGCGTGCGCGTACGTCGACACGCCCAACATTTGTAGCCAGCGACCGCACGCCGATCTGACGAGCGCTAATTCGGGAGCACAAATTATTATTTCATGAACCTTCATCAAATACTGTGAATCATAAAATGCATATACGCGCATACGTACATAGTACATCATACTCTGCCGCAATATTTTTAATATTCGCGGCCCGCGCATACCTAGCTAAAATGTAGAGTTACTGCTAGCCTAACTGTCTTCACTAACATGTAGATTATAAAATCATTATTATAATATATTTTATACCATGTTTAACACATTTTTACTTTTTGAGTTATAAATAAGACATACCGAATGAAATAAAAATAATTATTATCTGATTTAATGCTTACAGAACATAGCACATTTTTACATCAATTTATAAGAATATTTCACTTACGCAGTAGCATATCCAGAAATTTTAGATGGTGAGGTATGTTATCAAAATATCAATTTAGAAGAAAAAGGACAGTACATTATTAAATTACAATAACATGTCATTGTAGGTATTTTAAATTTACTCAAGTTAGCTCCCATATTATTTTGAGTGGCGGCTGATCCCATGAGAGGGATATATCCCTCATCCTTCCCCCCCTTCGGCACACTCCTGCACTTACGGTATTCACAAACTCCTTATATAATCATATACTGAAGAACAAAAATAAAACGTTACCACCGTTAGTAGTTAAAAAATTGTAAAAGTGTAAACTATACAAATTATAAATATTTTTGCCACCGTCAAAAGTTCATTAGGAAGCGCGGTTTATTCATTTATGAACAACTGTCGTGATCTATAATTTGTATGACTATTTTAATTACTAATGCCCAAGTAATTTAAATTAAAAATTTTCGGATTCTAAAAATAATTTAAATTGATTATAATACATTGATAAAAAACAAGGATATACTTAAAGTATATGGTTGATTCTAAAGTCATCTGAATAAACTTGATGAATAAAAATAATGCGTAAAACACTTATTTTTTGGGTTTGTTGTACCGAGAGTAATACGTAGGTTGTACACCTAATAACGCAATAAATATAAATCGCGTAGTTACGCGCGAATATTGAAAATATTACAGCGGCACTTACGTATTATATATGCATTTTATATTTACGCGACCCATTACATGCGAATGTTCAGAAAATAATGAACACCGCTCCTGAACGAGTACAATCGTCGACCGGCCGCCGACTACGAGTACTGGGCGTGGCCCAAATGTGGCGTGCTTGCGGATCGCGAAAACACTTAATAGATCATTCTCTTGGCCGTTGCATACGTTTTGCTTTTGGTATAGCGTCCTCTTAACACAAGAGAGTGGTTTATTTTTTACGATTCGAACGTTTTATTAAACGCGTTTTATTCGCCATTTTTTAATAAAAGAAAAGAAACTAATATAAATACTTCACGTTAAAAAAAAAAAAAAACATTGAACGAAAATGGTCAACATGATACAAGCGTGGTACACAGTCACACAAAATAAGAACATTCAAATGATAATTTATATTTTGGTCTTCCAAGTTCCTATTCAAAATACTTTATGAAGTAAATATAAATAGATAGTAAATCTGTAAATCATTATTTATAAATAGCTAGTGTATAGAAAATCAAAATTAATAAGCTGAAACGGGTAGTTCTGCGGTTTAGCTAATCTTTTTCTTTTAATTTTACCACTACGCTGTTTCGACCGACTCAAACATAAGAGTTTTTGATCGCCAATATTTTAGTTGTATTAGATTTAGATATACCATATTATATACTAAAGTGTACTCGTATCCAGAGTGACGGTAGTGGCGCGAAGCTAAGTAAAAAAAAAAAAAAGCGAAGCGGTCACTACCGTAGTACATTACACGAGCCAGAGTTTGCCTATTAAATTTGCCTGTTTTTTTTAGCCAAGGCTACAGATCTAATAAATGAACGGATTGGTCTGTATATAGTATCAATAGATCGGGAATGATTTGTAGATTAAGCCGCGTACACACGAGCTCGCCGAACCTGTAATGCAACGTTACACGCGCGGCGCGAAGTAATTTTTAATTCACAACAAACATGCGCTGCGTAAACGATCCACTATCAACGAGCGCAGTTTGCCGCGAACATTTTCATGCATAGTTCAGACGTTCGGAGTCGTACCGTGACTGACCATAGTCGTTTTAATTAAATAATTTTAAATTTAATTATTTGAATATAAAAAATGGAGGCTGAAGAAGCTTTACTAGTTTGTAGTGCAGCAATAGTTGTTTTGGGAAGTGCTGTACCAAAAAAAAGAGGTCGCAAACGAAGATGGTGGCACACTGAGTTATTTAAAAAACGTAGTGGAAATGAACTTTTGATGGATTTAAAATTTCAAGAAATCAGTGGGCAATATAAAAATTTTACTCGAATGAGTTCTTCAACTTTTGAAATACTATTGACAAAAAATTACAAGTAATTACAAGTACAAATTACAATAAAAACTTACAAGTACACAAATACGAGTACTAGTAATAAATAGGTTACGACAGTGTACTAGTGTCAAATCACGTTGTCAAAGCGGTATGCGCGTTTCAACGATGATAAAAATAATATAAACACGTCCACACTGCGCCGAACATTTCCTTTGTGTTCGTCAGAAAAATCGACAAAAACTGGTTCAATCCGCGCCGTTGCAGTAACATCGCACGCGTGTTTCAAATACTGTCCACACGAACGAGCGCGTGCAACGTTTGCATTACAGGTTCGGCGCGCTCGTGTATACGCGGCTTTACGTTGCGGTGGTACACTGGGCAGCGGTTGCGAGTTGCGATTCCCGCCGTTGCCTGCGTCTTCGCTTATCGTATTCGTCATTTCTGTTATCGATATTCATGTTTCTGGCGCCGTTTAGTGTAGACGCGTATTTGAGGGGAGCGATGGGGGCAATCTCCTCCCCCCCCCCGATAATTTTTAGACTAAGACAATTTTTATATAAGTAATGGGTATTTTACTAAGAAACAAAAATTATGATTTATTTTATAGTATTACTACATTAGAAAACGTTTCAAATTTTACACTAATCTAAATAACGCAAAACGCTAAATTTTTCATAACGTTTTAATTGTCCATAACGGTAAACGGAAAATTTTTTAAATGTTTAAATTTGTATAACGTTTAAACGCTTAAATTTAATAACGTTTAAATTATTCATAGCGTTAAACGCTCAATTGATTATAACGTTTATATGTCCCATAACGATAAATAATATACTTATATTATTTTGATTGAAGACCCAGTCCATACTTAGTGAAAAATTAGATAAAACACAAGCGAAACTTTCAAAACACGGATAGGTATTAAAAAAGAATTACACAAAAGACCATTCAAAGTGGATCCGGCATTACATTAAAAAAAAAAAAAAAAACCACAAATATTAAGGATTCACCTGATATAAATATTACCAACAATTTTACTTGTAAATGTTGAGCCTGAATTAAAGAAAACATTTGAGTCTCCCCACTCTAGAAGTAAGTCTAAATACGCCCCTGGCCGCCGCACCGGTTTATAATAGAATAACCACGTTTTATTTGTTGTAATTGTAGTAGGCCGTACTATTTATAACATAATTATAATTATATTATAATTTATTATTTGTTATTTCTAAAATGGTTTCTAAAACATATAAACAGAAATTAAGAAAAAGGAGAAATTATTTAGAAAAATAAACCACAAATACAATGAGTATGTTGAATTTATTAGTACTCTTATAAACATTTACGATCCACTAAAAAATGCGTTATCTAATAAATAACAGATACAATTAGTTTGTTCTGCGTGCCATAATAAGAGAATACAAATAACTCAAAACTATATTATTCAACTTAATGTACCTAACGTTCTAATGTACCTAATGAAAATGAAACGGTAACTTTTAATACAATGCTAGATCATTTATTCAGAGAAGTGTTAATAGAAGGCGTTAATTGCAGTGCCTGTAATACTATTACAGATCATACGCAGATAACAAATATAGTAAATACTAATGAATATTTGTACTTTCAAATACAACTTAGGAGTAATGTCAATACCAAAATATCAAACATAACCATTAATGCATTACCCATTACAATTATTAAAGTTGATGGTAAAGTGTATTGTTTAAAATCTGTCATCTGTTATCATGGTCTATCTATGAATGAAGCCCATTATACAAGCATAAGTTCACATCAAAATAAATGGCTGCGATGTAATGACACTGTAATACATTTTGAACGATGGCTTCGAGGGGGTAAAAATGTATAAATTATAATAATGGAAAAAAAAATTGAATATGATTTTTAAAAAAAAACATAGAGTATATTAAACAAATTAACTTAATAATAAAATAAATTAATAAAAACATAAAAAATTTCATATTACATGCCAGTACATAAAAATATGTTATAAAAAACTACTGATATCCCAACAAAAACACTTCGTCGGACTCCGTGTAAAAAACTGCTAAGTAAAAAAAACTAGTCAACTATAAGACTTCAGCATTATAAAGATGTGATATCATGAATAAATGCTAAGTAAATTAAATTTTAAATAAATTTATTCTATTTCAATAATTTATTTACTTGGCGAGAATTTATTTATTTCGACAAATAAACATGTGTATTTATAACTGGACTATTTAACAAATTTCCATGATAAATGTTACTAAATTTGTTTTAAAAAAAAGTCTTAATTATTAATTAATAAAGAAAATAAATTTTCGCAAAATAAATGATTGAAATAGAATAAATGTATTTAAAATTTAATTTACCTAGGATTTATTCATGATATCACATCTTTATAATGCCGAAGTCTTATAGTTGACTAGTTTTTTTTACTTAGCAATTTTTTACACGGAGTCCGACGAAGTGTTTTTTGTGATAATATAATCTCTGAAGATTCGGCCTCAAGCCACAGAAAATCTTTTCTATAAAATAATTTTATAATTGTTTCATAAAAATTGAATATTCAATTTAAACTTATGTTAAAAAAAATATAACAAAATCTTGAAATCCTATTTTTCCATGTATACTATATTGAACTATTTTGAAAATAAGCTACACAGTTTTTTGTGAAAAACCAACTTTTTATATGGAATAAAATAATTAGCTTTACGTATTAAATATATCTAGAATCGAGTCCTAATAAATTGCTCTATACTCTTTAGTAAGTTTCAGTATACTCCATGATTTGTATGAAAGATTTTTTTTAGTAAACAAAAATATATTTTGTAATAAAAAAACAAAGTTTTTACGCACATCAGAATTTGACAGTTTGTCGCTATTATACAAGCTGTCGCTCACCAAATATTTTATGGACTAACATAATATCATTTATTGTTTTCATCTTATGAAAATATATTATTTAGCTATAAGCTATTATTAGTTACGGGCTTCGGCCTACGGAACGCCGATAACAGACCGGTTTTTGCCGGCTGTCGATGCAAACGTTGCGCGTCGTAGCAAGGAGGGGACTAATAAAGTTGCCGTTAGAAATGAGAGCAGCACACGTCTGCCGTATTATAATTTTATTTTTACGTAAAATCTTAATTTTAAGAATTTTTAGATTCAAAAACTTGGCTTACTAAGTGATTTTAGAGCAAAAACCTTAATACAAAAGTTGTAGAGAACAAAATTTTGAAGATAATGACATATCCCTTTTTTTATACATTCAGTATTTAACAAACTATGATAAAAACAAAAAAACCAATTTTTTACTTTTTCAAATGCTTGTAACTTTTTTCCTAGGGATAATTTAAAAAAAAAGGCTGTCATTATCTCCAAAATATTGTTCTCTACAACTTTTGTAAAAGATTTTTTTTTTTCTAAAACTTCTCAATAAGCCGTAACGCGTAAACACGTTTTTGTACATGTTTTTTTGGTGGTGCGGCGTCCTCTTAAATAAATGTTTAAACAAAAATAATGTAATATTGAATAAATCGAATAATGTTGTGTTCCTTTAAACAAATCAGTGATGTGATAATGAGTTTAATATATGGTACATCATCTATCTAATAAACATTAAAATAGTTAATAAAAAATAATAATTTTGCATTTTTCATAGTAGTTATACAATAATTAGAAATTAATTAACTTATATTAATTAAACATTTGAGAACAGTTTTGACTATGTAAGTTAAAAAAAAATGTTTTGACTATAAGTAGAACGTAATTAATTATTGACTATTGCATAGTGTTTATCTAATATGTGTTTATTGGAATCATGTATTTGAACTATTGAATTGCTGGAATCATTCTTATATAAATATGTTTATTTATTTTGACTAAATGCTAAAATAACTAAAGATTACTAACCTTAATATTTTCATTATAGCTACATTTTCTTCGAGTTCTGGTTTTTCGGTAAGAAAGCTTCTTGCTGTTTTTATGGCTAATTTTAATGATCTTAAATCAAATGCGTAGTTTAATGGATTTGAAAGGCTTTCTCTGCATAACTTGTAAAGTAACGATATTTTTTTCGATAAAACCTATTGGATATAAAAATATAAACAATTTAGCAATCTTGATGGTTTAGATTGTATAATTAGCACCTTAGCTTCTAAAAAACCCTCGGAATATAAGATAGTAAAACATATTTGTTCGAAATCGGGTATGATACAAACAACTGGTCTAAAATGATTTTTTATTATTTCATCGATTTCTTTTTTTTGTCCGTTCCTTTCTTCGATATTCATAGTTATAAAAATGCCAACTCTCGGGCTAATATTTACATCAAATCCAAAAATCTAAAGTAAAATCGATGATTGTTACTTTTACAACATATCGAAATGATAAAAAATATAAATTACATCAGTCTCGAGTTTGTTTTCGACCAGTGCCCATTTCATTGAATATAGTACAGTCGATATAACTGACAATGTTTTTTGAGAAATCCTGTTAAATTTTGTAAATAATCCCCAAATTTTACTCTGGCTAATTCCGTTAAGAAATTTATTAAACGTCTGATGGTCCAACCCATCATTGCAATTGATTATTTTGCATAAGCTGCCTAATATTTTAGCCATAGCTAAGATCGTTTCGGTTTTTCCAGTTCCAGTTGGACCTGTATAAATTACAAGAATGAATCAAAACTTCGTTTAAACTTAATTCATAAACATTATATTTAAATATAAAGTAATACGCTTATTGAATAATATTAAAAATGTTGTATTTAATTTTTTCTCAATACATTCAATAATATAGTGTTATCCAGTTTATCACAAATTTCTATGTTACAGTCGTTGCCAGATAAATTGAGACGGCGGCGGCGGCGCGATAACGGAAAACCAATGGTTCTCCGTATTTCAATATTATTACTGAAAATACATCAATAAACCAACTATTGTTACAAAAAATATTTTACGATATTAATTTAAAATCATATATTCTGATAATAATTTTTTATTTAAGAACAAAAAGTAGAAATTTTAAAATAATATAATTAATATAATAATAATATATAATATTAATAATAATATGATGAAATAATAACAACATCTATATGCATTATTATAAACAAATATTGTTAATACGACTGAAGTGTTTGCGCGGTCAAAACACACCGGGTTAGGTTAGTTGTTTTTAGCAGTGTAGGGCAACCAGAACGGGAGAGAGTACAGAAAATTCTGCAGACAATTTTTTGCACTAAGCCGGGTTCGAACTGGTGACTGCGCGCGTCGTAGCTAACTGTGAGACCTTTGCACCACACTACCAGCGACTAGTTTGGGCTACACTTAATGAAAAGCGCCGCCACTGCCGTCTCAATTTATCTGGCAACGACTGTATAATACGAATGTTAAAAAGCAAATGGAGCTAACCGGTAAGTTTTGTATATTACGTGACAGTTAAAACATTTTATCGCACAAATTCTAGTAGGTATTGTGTTCTTCTAACCATTTAGTAATGCGATATTTAATATTTATAAATTTCGCTACAATCGAAATTTACAAACATACATTTTATATAAGTAGGGACTAATTGTCTCTTTTATGGAATAAGCGATATTCATGAAAATATTGTTTGCTATGTGACAAACACTTGACATTAGATCATATATAATGTTAATAATATGCAATACATTTTATAAGATTAAAATTTGTTTTAGTTTATTTTATTTATTATACGTAACGGTTGAACAATCTTATGAGATACATAAGACATAAAATAAAGTAAAATTATTATATTATACAAACTTATAGGTAAATTTATTACAGGTTCACTAATTTATAGACATATTGTTTGCAGTCAGTATTAATTTTGGAAGTTAACAATGAACTCATAATTAATAATAAGAACATTTGGTTTTTATTTTGTTTTTAATAATTGTCTACAATCAAACTAACTTTATTAATTATACTTTTAATGCTTAAAATTAATTTTAATAACATTAAACTTTTAATGTCTTACCGTGAGTGGCACCACCTAAGCACATCATGAATGCTTGAGTTAAAGTCAAGAACACTCGATTAGTTAATGGAGTTATAACAATATTCTTATTAGATCCCATGAATTCATAACCATAATTAAAAAATTCTAAAATAAATTGAAAAATAATTAATTAATTATTTAAATTGATATATTTATTATAAATTATAGTAATATAAAATTACTATATAATTGAAGTTTTTCATTGACGTGCATACCTGAACATTGTGCAATATACAAGTTATCTTTACTTTTTATCCAATACGATTTTAATATACTATCCCATTCAAATGATTTCGCACTGATCACACTGAAATTAATAAAAAAAATTAAATAAAATAATTTATGAATTAACGTTGTAATCGGTCAAATCGCTAACTTATTTACGACAAACGATTCGATGATATCTCTATGATAAACGTATAAAACTATCATTGAGCTGTACTTGTTTCTTTTACTTTCAGACATTTCTTTTTTACTTAGTTCGACTATATCGTTAGTTTTGTTATTTAATTGATTCAGGTAATGTTTCATACTTAAATTGTTACCCTAAAATAAATGTGAATTGTTTTTAATAACATAATGTACACATCAACAATGACTAGTTGCAAATACAATATATTATGTACAGTGTCTTATTCAAAACTATTTAACTATTAAAATTATTGTGGTGTGATATAATTACAAAATCAATTTTATTAAAGATATGTTCTACTTCAACTGTCCACCACACATTTTCCGCGGTCAAACAAATTGATTCTGGAAAATTATTAATCCAATCATATCTAGTACTTGAATATGAGATATTATTTCCTAAATCTAATATGGCTTTTTTGATCATAAACCGATTTGATTTTTGCATTTGATCGATAACTTTTAGCATCCATTTATCAACAGTATTTCTAATGTTAACGTTGTTCTTAAAAACTAATACTTCATTGTTACACGTCGTCATTGCTGCAACCGTATAGCTTTGGTCTTTAAATTCATAAACTAGACTTTTGATATTATCGAATATCTAAAATAAAACATATGTATTAGTTTTAGTTTGTCTAAAAATGGGAAATATACGATTCTGGATGGAACGATTGGGAACGGATCTTTTCCGGTAACACGATTGCGAACATTTTTACCTGCCATTAATCGTGCGGTGTTGTCAGATTTGGTGTTAGTCAATAACAAATTAGAACTACCAATGACCCAGAGAGCTTTCATAGGATGTACAAAGGTCAGTTTTATAGCCCCCATCCTTCAACAGACGTAGTGATATCAGTTTTAAAAGAAACACAAGCTCAAACTTTGACAATAATAAATTCAATTAAAAACAATGTACATAATCCTATGGCTAAAAAAGATAAATCTAAAATTTAATTAACATTACGTATTAATTAATATTACATTACATTTAATTAACATAATTATAAATTACACAAGGATCTAATTTTATATTTAAGAAAAATTGAAAATTCCTACCAGAAAAAAAATTAAAAAAAAAAGCAAAAATGTGGAAACTATTTTTAAAAATCATTATTTTGTATGTATTATTTACAAATTGTTTTAATTAATAAAGGTTTCAAACACTACATATTGTTTTGTATAATTGTATTTTAGTTTGTAACATAGTTGTTGTTTTAATTGTGTTATTAATAAATTATCAATAGTTTTAAAAAATGTTTTGTAAACTTGGCAACGAAGTCTATAAAAACGTTCACAACGTTCATTTTTCGGCTAAAAAACTAAATTCTCTGATAAGCGTCATTCGTTCGCAATCGTGTTATGAAAATTGTAAGACGATCGCAATCGTGATGTACCCCTAAAAATACACTGATACGATTGTAAGATCAACGTACTTGAATGATATATTCTTGAATTGCAATTGGATCCGGATTACCGTATATGAAAAGCAAATCATTATCCGATATAAAATAAAACCTAGGAAAGCCGTTTCTTTTTTCGATAATATAATTATTTAATTTTTTTTGACTTATGTCTAATCGACATTCCAACCACGATAATTGGTTAATAATATTTGGTTTTAAGCATTGTTCAAGAATCTTGGAGTTCCTATTTGCATTAATCATTACCTAAACATATTAATCCACGATAGTACTTGCTTTAAAATGGTTGAAAAATATTAAGCACAGGCGCTGATAAGCATAGTATATATTATATAGGTAATTGTAGTCAGTGGCGTATATAGAGAGGGGCCTAGTAGGCCACAGCCTCCCCCTCCCCGAAATGTTTTAAAAAACTTAAAAATTATTTTAAGCGTATGTTATATTTTAATGGTGTTTTATGCTTATTTAGAATTTGCTTCCAACGTCAAATTGTTTTGGGACATTCTGTAAATGAAATGTAGATAATATGTAGACATACTGTGTCTTGTCAGTAATTCTTAGATAGGAGTGATAATTTAACTCTGTCCGTAGTAGCCCCTCCCGAAAATATTTTCTGTATACACAACTGATTGTAGTTATAACTGATTATCAAGTGATATCAATGTGCATCTGTGATATGGGGATCTGAAAGCTGTGTTTATGTAGTGTAGTTATCTGTATGTACTTATGTGATAATACCCTTTATAAGTTGTATTAATGTTTATTTTAGTACTGATTTCTGTATATAAATTATGCATAGATAAGAGATACCTCTTTGTAGAATTGATTCAATTCATTGAATTCCTCGGTTTTTTCAGGTAGAATATATGCGATTTCTTTACTAGTATATATTTCAGCAAGATATATCCATTTTTGCTGTACAAACCACCATTTATTCAAAACTTCATTCACCGTTGACAAATGTTTTTGCCATGTTTCAACTTTTGATAAAAATGGTTCGACCGAACTAAAACATTTACGCATAATAATTAATAAAATTATTTTATACTATATTGTTTATAGAAAATGTAAATCAAACTTTTTACTGAAACATTTAAATTACTCACTAAGAGTTCATCATTTTGTGCATAGTTATTTGATCATCCTCTAATATTTGCAATATATTATGAACTCCGTGTAGTTTATGTTCACCATTAGAATACTTTTCTATGTTTAAATTCATTGTGGTCCATCGCTATAAAATAAATTTATTTTTATTGTAGTAAAAATGTTGAATAGAAATAATCATATTTTAATGTACACATACATCGTTTATTTCTTTTAGTTTTTTTTCGATGCTGTTTTCATCAATTGCTTTACACAGGATTTTTTTAATAATGTGTTTATGTTTTACAGTTCGCATTTTTAAAACAATCCCGAAAGTAAGAACATCTTCATTGTAATTAAAATTCACACCTATAAAATAATTTATTGATTAATTTTTCAATAAATCTATAAACATTTAGATAAAAATGGATTTATGGATTTAGGTAATAGTTATTGGTTAGCTATAAATTATTGTTTTCAGATATATTTTTATTTTACTTTTTCTCTCTCGCATGATTACCGAACTATTGAACACTCTACTCTCCAAGTAGCCAATTATTGGGTTACATTGTTTTTATTTTCTCCCTACAAAAACTTGTCACTTATTCTAGACGAAATTAAAATTGATTATTTCAATTCCACAGTACATGGCAGTATTATACTATAACGGAAACTAATGTCGATTTACGTTTACATTGTTGAATGTAGATAAGTGTATTAAAAATCATCGAATAATAATTGAGAATGATGAATTTATGATAACCAGTTTTAGTTACAATATAAATTATTATTTATACATGCTTGCATTAAATAAATGCTTAGTCTCTTAAAAAAAAAAAAAATATAAAAAAAATATTCATTAAAAATACACACACTGGGATCAGTTTTTATATGGTTGAATAGTAATTATAAATAATATTTTATAATTGTAAAATGATACGTATATGATAAAATAATGTACCAATGGTATCCAACATTTCTTTCCAATGTCTAGGTCTTAATGCGTTATTTTTTAACTGTAACAAAATTGGCACACTGTGTCTCAGTTCTTTTAGATAGTTCACTAAGATTTTTGCTGGATGCGTGTTTTGCGCTAAAACGGGTAGTTTTTTAAATTTCAACATAAGAGCACCAAATGCTTCACGAACAAATTCTATTCTAATGTCCGACCAAGGTATTACGGACCATTTTTCAATGTCCGACTTTTGTTTTTCATACAATGAGTACACTAACTTCATAAATTGGAACTCGGAATAACATTCATCAAATCTTTCAGTATTTAACAATTTCAAATTGAAAAGTTTTTCCTCTTTGACTAGTTTTTCTTTTTGTTCCATCAAATCTACAAAATACTTGTCGTACTCCTAAATTGTCAAACGTAACAATAATTAAATTAAAATTGTTTAAACACTACAAAATATTATGAAATCATTTAACGAACATTCATCAAAATAAGTCCCAAATCTAAGTCGTCATTGATTCTTTTTAAACCACAGTTATGGTAATTTACCAAAAATTTGTTTATACTATCTGAAAATATTTCAATGTTTATTTTGACACTGTACGACCAAATTACTTTAGACTTTTCTAAAAATAATTTCTTTTCTGAAGCTATTCGTTGTAATGTTAACCAATCATCTTGTATGTTTGAAATGTATATTAGATCTTCCTGAGGCATTACAACTCCCACTTCTTCCAAAACGTAAATATGATGGTTTAAATTTTGAAAAAATATTTCAACGTTCACTTGTTCTGTTCTTATTTCTTCTATTTTATAAAGATAGTTCTGGAAATCTTTACTATTCTTCAGTTCACCGTTCAATAATATTTTAAAAGTCTGCAATTTATAATACATAATTAGGAATTGTATTCGTACCTTTATGATGATTATATTTTTATCGTATTCCATATACGAATTTAAATTTAAACAAAATAGATAGGTATAGGAACGAATAGTATACACTTATTTACATTAAATATTTAAATACATTTTAGAAAATAATTGCATATTTTTAATCAGTAATGCTATTTTTTAAATAATAGAATAAGATGTTTGTTTTTACTAAATATGTATTAAAGTTCAAATAATTTTTGTTAAGTTGTTAAGTAGTTAATGTTTTCGCGTTTAGAAAATAAAATATTAAAATATAAGACTTTAGAATAATATATTTTGGAGTGACGTCATTTCAGTTTTTGAGAGTGGGGGGAGGGGGAAGTTTTGACCAACCCAAAATATAACTAAATAAAAAAAACCACTCACTAACAATTTCATTTATAAAGTACCATATTAGTAGGGAACGGATTAAGCATATATGTATTGGATTAAGTTTTTTGAAATCTGATGAGAATTGTCCCCGATTTAAATTATTGTTGTTATTAAAATAATATTAATTTTATTTAGCATACATTGCATACTTCAACGTTTTCACCTTATTTTACATATTTCATGCATACTTGTAGTTTTATAGTGCATATTTTTTATTTATAATACATATATTTATTTTATTTTATATTTTCACGTTCACAGCCACAAATATAAATAAATATAAATTAATAAATATAATATATAATATAAATATATAAATTTAATATAAATAAAATGAAGACCGATCGTTATAGCCAAAAATGCAACATATGAGTATATACAAATTATATTAATACAGATAAATTCATATGATATAGTTGAACACTTGAAATTTACGGAATTATGGAAATCAATCAGTCAGTGCCAGTATTTGTGCGTATATTTTTATTTATAAAACTGTCGCCGTTTTTGTGTCTAGTGATTTTTTTTTATTATTCGTTCCTAACTTTAAAATGCCTAAAGGAAAAACACTAATTGTGATTCGTCTACAGACATACATAAACAAACTTAAAGATATTTTTAAAACCAATGGTTCAATTTTGTATTACAATATTTGTGAAATTTTTATATGGTTTAAAAAAAAATATTTTTGATTTAATTATAAGTGCATATTTTGAAGCATATTACAGAATTTTTGGGGGCATATTTTGAGGATCTTTTGTGCATATAAATCTGTTCCTTACATATTAGTATAGTAAAATACACATTGAATAGAAAAATAATTCATAATATAGTATAATAAATTAAATTATTTGAAAAGTTAATTTATAGCAGGCTTGCGGCCAATATCCGGCCCGACAATGGCCCGCTAATGATAAAAGGGAGAGGTAAATGCTATTAATGATGACACTGATATTTTGAATTGAAAATAATTCAAAAAGTGAGTTGAAATAATATTCAAATTTAGTCTAATATTTTATATCATAATGTATATTGAATTTAATTATTTTTTTAAATGAATTAGTTTGTATAATGAATAATATTTATAATTTTCCCACTTTAACTGAATACAATATATTCGAATTTAATCAGTCAGTATACTTTTATGAATTAATATAATACTATTTTTACCTTCTAACACATCTGTTATGTTTTTAGTAGTGCACTACCTACTGATATAGTGACATTTTAGACCTTATGTTCACTGTTTTATAGTTACAAACAATATATATTTGAAAGAAGAAATATAATAATATGATGTGTGTTCGTTACTTTTGGTTAATAACTTAAAACTTACGTTAAATATGTCACCTTGGCGATGAATCATTTGTCTCGTAGATATTATTAACTGATCTGCATAAGATAATATCAACTCTTGTGTGAATAGCTTCATTTGATTTATTATATAATTGAGATCTAATCTAAATTTAAATATATATATTATATATTCGAAATAACTGTATGTTTTCCCGATTGAAATATCTCAGTAAATACTAATTTTAATTTACAATTGTTCATTGTTGTGTTATTTTATAGTACAGGGCCGTATAAAAAAGGTAATTTTTAATTCATATTTTTAATCTTTATCTGGTATAGAAAAATAACTTTTATATTTTTTCAACCAAAGCATTGCAACAATAAATTACAAATGTTATATTAGTGTAGCTGAAAAGGTTATTTCTAGGGCTGGGATTTTGATGCAAAGGCATTTTTTTTCGGTTGTTCTGAATCGTTGGTCCGTAAGTATAAAATGTGTTTTGGGTAATACTGATTTTTTGAAAGTATTTTTTATTTCGCATTTTTTTACAAAATTAACCATTTATAAGACATTTTTTGACGTATTTAGTGCATTTTCTTAGTTTTAAGAGCATTTTTCACAATTTCTTCTTAAGATTAACGAAAATTGTTGTGATTCACAAGAGACTTATTGCAAACTGCCGACGGTACAAATAATAAATTATATAAAGTATTATATATTTTATCATTACTAGACTTCGATAAGTATTACTGAATTAGTAATCAATTACTAGTACTACTAGTACTAGTAGTACATCTGTCGTCGTCAGTGTTGCCAGACGTAGGGACGTGGTTGGGAGCATATGACAATTGTATAATGTGTACGGTATGTGGATGGATGAATAAAAACGATGATACAAGATACAATAATTTGAATTGTTTCCAAGTAATTACTATAAAAAAAAAAAATTATAAAAATAAAACCATTTAAAAATGTTGCTGGTTTCATATTAAAAGTTCTAAGCTTACCTCACTCTTCAAATGATTGCGAGAGGGTGTTTTCATAAATTAATTTAATAAAAACTAAAGATAGAAATAAACTAAGTACTGAAACAGTTAACAGTTTGCTTTTGGCAAGTGAACACATGAACCAAAGAACTAGTTGAGTAAAATTTGAACCAACAAGAGCAATGATTAACTCAATGACCAATCATATTTATGAAAAACAAGAAATTACCAAAAAAACAGACATTCAAGGTAATTTGGATAATTTACAAAAATAAAATATTGGACTATTTTTATGAATTAATGTAATTATATAAACTTAATGTTTTTGTTTCTTGGTGAAAAAAATATACATTTTTAAGGGCATTTTTTGAGAATTTTTAGGGCATTTAAATCCCAGTTAAATCCTAGTTATTTCATTTATAGGTAGTGATTTAATAGTTAGCCAATAAAGTTTACCGAATACGCTTATCTTCAATAATGAACTTGCATTTCCTACAATTATGAACACAGGCGCAAAAAGGTAAGTGGAGTTTGGGAGGCTTAATTATGGATTATTTAGAGCCTTCCCCAAAAAAACTAATAATGAAGCCTCACAATATATACATATGTATATTGGATATTTGTAAGCTTCAGACTTCCAAATCTCAAATACTATTTACGCACATGATTAAAAAATGAATTATTCGATTTTCAATTGCAATACTTTGACATTTTTAAAACAGATTTTAATAAAAAATAGTTGTTTTGAAATTTCATAGAAATAAAAAAAAAAAATTTGATTATAAACATTTAGTTAAAATTATAACAATAAATAAACTATTTTGGTTTTAATCAAATTTAATTAAAAAAAATAGATTTATTTCTGAGACTAACCTTTGATATAATTAAACAATTTAAATTATATATTCTGAGAATAAATTCATAAAAAATATTGAATTATAATGTTTAATTAAGTTTAATCAGTATCTAACAAAAAAATATTCATTTAGAGTAAATTTCAGCAATACATTAATTTATTATGAAAATAAATTATTAGTTAATGGTCAAGCAAATACAGTTATTTCTTTTAATTTATTTCTTTAATTTTTTATTATATATGAGATTGCGAACTTCATATTATTAAATTAATATTTTCCAATTACAGAATCATTACATACCACGTACATACATAGTTATACCACATATTAATTATAACAAATTAACTAAAAATAGTACAAGTATACAAATTAAATGAAACAAAATATTTACATACTTTGTTTTAGTTTATTGTTACATACTTGACACAGCGTATTTTTTTGTGAAGGGGCATGTTTGAAAAAAATTGTAAAAGTCGTTTTAAGTCGTTAAAAATTTTTTCATAATCTTGAATAGACGTATTTGTAGATAAAAATTCTTTATTTTTTATTTTCGATCCATTCCATAAAAATTGAAATTGTTTCCATCTAAACAAATTGCAATAATTTTTAAAGTATTAATACATTAAATATTTCAGTTGGGTTTAATATAATTGTTTTTCACATACTTTTTTAAATACTTGTTCACTTCAACAATAAGGCTGTGTGAATTTTTTCGAATAATTTCAATCTTCTCTTGAATAGCCCTATTACTAATTATTTCTTCATAAAATGTGTTTCCATAATGATCAATTAACCATTTGTTGTCAACAATCGAATAACTTATACAAGATTCTGCTTGCCAAATAGGCAACACTTTCAACCATACTAAACATCTCGATATATTTTTTATAATGTTATTATAGGTGACATAAATATTAGGAACTATTGTTATTACTCTGTCGGTTACATTAACGGTCAGTTTGACGAGAGATTTGTCACTTTGTATTGCTTTATTATAAGAATCCAAATTCTTTAAATACATTCTTTTAATAAAACAATATAATGTAAAAAGTATATTTAATCGATGATTAACAATGTTGATGACTTACTTTAAAATGGAATTCAGTATCATATTTTTATAATCTAGATATAATTCTAACATGGGCGTACACGCACCACTTATTGAACCAAACAAGTATCGTTCTAAGTGTAATAAGTATATAGAAATAGCTTGATATCTGTAGACGATATGTTGAAATTGCTTGAACCCAAATCGTTCATAAATTAAAGGTATGATTTCAAATTTCTAAATTAATGGAACATACTTATTATTTTATTAAATAATGTGTTTAGCTTAGAAATAAATCAAATACATACCTCTAATATTGAATCGTTATCGATTAAAATATTCAACGGGAACAAGTTCACATTTTCTAAAGAAATTATCGACTTTGATATATGAGATTCGATCTAATAACATATTAAAGAAACTCTTATATTATTATCATATATTATTGATATGATTTGAAGTTGAATTTAATATTTTTATTTTTATCAACTTACTATTTTTAGATTATTCCACTGATTTTTCGTTTTATTAATCAATGTTAAACCATCATTTGTAAACGTATCTATACTAATTGAAAGCCAATTGTAACGACATAAACCCGTATACAAATAATTCTCAATATCTCTCAACCTATGTTTTAGTATAGTAATCTGAATAGGAGAAAAAATAAAAATAAATATATCAACAATTTGTTTTCAAATAATTGTAATGGTATGTGTAAAGATAAACAGTAAACCGAGTTCGTCAATTTTTACAATAATAAAGTTAAATAATTATTTATTTTACGATGATAATACATTACATGAAATACATTTTGTCGGAAATAGTTTATCTGGTTATCAGTAACTTAAGTGAACATAATAATACTCGTATGTGTTAAATCATGGATTTATGTATTAAATCATGGATTTATGTATTAAATCATGTACACATGGACACAGTTACGGCTCGTGAGATCTGGTGGTGGAGGTGCGACTTTAAATTGAACACCCCTATTCAGTGTTGGGAATAGAAAATGCAAAATTTATCTAGATAAAGATGAAAGATTATATGTCCAAATTCATCTAGATAAAGATGATAGATAAAAAAAATTAAAATATCTAGATAAAAAAAAGATATTTTCAAAAAATGTTATTTTTTGATCAATATTTCATATTCTAATAATATTGATGAAGACTCAATTATAATCAGGGGCGTATTTAGGAATGTCTTATGGGGGGGGGGGCACAAACAAAAAGTTCAAAGTATACATAGTTATAACTTTTCCATCTCAAAAATCTGTCGTTATTCATAACCAAATAATCAAAATACAAGTGTTTGATAGAAACATAAACTTTTACTATACAAATTTATAATAAAACATATTTTTAAATATAATTTTTGTAATTACAATAACTGAAGACGTCTGGGATGTTTATTAGCATATGCATCAACTACTTCTTCAGGTTTTATAATTATTTCAGGGTGTATATTAAGGTGTATTCAGGGTGTATACAATGCTAATCCGTTTAATCAATGGTATCATATTATCATGATATATTGATATTCCAGTATTTCACCGTGTGCCCATGGGTGAAAAATAAGAGGGTCTACAATAATAAATAAAGTATAAAATACGGTGAATAGGGGGGGACGGGCCCCATAGGCCCACCCTTTAAATACGTCCCTGATTATAATCATTATTATCAATAGGTAACTAGGTGTTTAATGTTTATTGTAGTAATGTAGTGTACCTGTAATAGAATAACAGAAGATTACTTAAGAGGCATACCCCATAATTTTCATAATTTTCAGTTAATTGTTTGATTATTTATGTAGGTACCTAGTAATTTATAGTAATACTTTTATTTATTTTTTGACAATATGTTAATGTATTTGCATAAACTGAATTATAATTTTTAATTAAATGAACAATAATTATACTATTGTGTTATTATTTACTTATTAATAAATTGTACTATATTCACAATGAATTGTACTTGCGGTCAGTGTCGTAGCCAAAGGGGGGGCTAAGGGGGCTATAGCCCCCTCCATGGGCCGTGTTTATATGTAAACGTATCTATGTACTAAACTAGTATACTACTATTTTTATTTAAGTATTTTAAACCTTTGGTATTAACTAAATTTTGATGATTAACGAATAACTGGTGGGGGGGTTAAGGGTGAATTCTCATATCCTCTTTAACCTTACTTATCCAAAAAAGTGATTAGCCCTTCCCATTTAAAAATCCTGGCTACGCAACTGCTTGCGGTGACTGGTAATTACGGTGAATTGTTCGCGATCCTTATATCATATAGATGTTTGTTGACACTACCGGTTATCCCAAAACTTCTCAGTGCTCGTGTATGCATGCATACATACTATACGTACAATTCTGGTATCTGAAGAAACAAATTTAATGTTTTGAGACGATAAAATGTATATTATAAATATTATAAATGATATTATATATAATAATTATTCGAAAAATGCAGTTTAATAAATGTATGAGTGTACAATTAATTTTCTTTTTTTCATTAATTTTAGATCGTCCCATCAACCAAGCCACGAGCCGCCACTGCATGGATAATATTAAATTTTCGTAATATATTTAAAATAAAATCCAGTGTTATAAACAAATATAATTTTTTTCCTAATAGTGAAGGTAAAATCCGGTTTTTCGAAATTCGAAATCCGGATTTTATTATAAATTCGGGTTCCGGATTATAAAATTCAAAAATCCGGATTCTAAAATCTGAAAATTCAGATTAGAAAATCTGAAAATCCGGATTCGAAAATCTAAAAATTCGAAAATCCTAAACTAACAACCAATTAACAATACACAAAGTACAACTAACAATAAATATCTTAATTACATAATATATAATATATATTATTACATTTCTATAATTATTTAAATATTGATGACAAATTTTAAAATTAGGATGGTTATATATATATATATATTAATTGTAACTATAATAAGTTAACTAGGTATTTAATAGATTAATTAGTATATAGTTTTATAGTTTAGGTTTTATACAAAAAAATGTAATACTCTTCTTATTAGAATTTTATAACCAGAAATTTGGATTTTAAAGTAAAAAAAGTCTAAAAATCAGGATTTTGTATTTTCAGATAATCCGGATTTTTTTCACACCACTAGTATCTATATAAAAATATGGTTTTTTGTTACTCACTTCTAAATCACTCATAACAGAAATAAATGAGTTATACGAATAAATCATATTTTTTACTTTCATTATGTCATCAAACAGAGAATTTTTTTTTTGCTAATAACATTTGTATTTCTCCAGGTAAAACAATTCCCAAATTTTCCATCATTTCGGCTTCTTCTATTAATACATACACCTGATCCTATAATTAACAAAATGTAATTACAAGACGAATAATAGTTAACGGTATAGATTTTACATTAAAATTAGTTTTGAACATCAATTGATGGTCTGATAATATTTGATCTGATCCGTCAACACATTTTATCCAATCTTTTAAATCTTCAATTTTGATTTTAATCTGAGGTTGATCTAAATCATCCCAATGAACATTATTTGAAAAAAATTGTACATTTCTTAATTCACTCAACATTTATAGACATAAGGTAGTGCAAGACGTTTGTTTTAGCAGTTTTGTGACATTTTTATTTACAAATTACAGTATTTTAAATATAAACTATTGCAGTAATTTTACTAGAATATTAATTATTTATTTGTTTATTGTGAAAACAACTACATAATTTAGAGATAAATAACCGTTGTTAACATATTACTGCGATGAGTACAAATATGGAGTAATCTTTTACTCAACTAAATATTGCAATAGTAATTTGTAACACTCGGGACTTAAGTGTGCGGGTCAGGAGTATTCAGTCAGTTTAATGTATAAATAACGGTGTGCGCGGTAATAGACTGTCGGCACAATAAAAAAAACAATATTTAATAATAATGAATATAATGAAAATAATTAACTAATAAATAGTACAAGAATGAATTATATGTAACACGGCTCATTCGAATAAACAACCGAAAACGACTCGCAAAACACACAAAACAACGGTGTGAGCGTCACGAACGAAAAAAAAAACGGACTGCGGTGCAATCCACCGGCCGTTGCAACGGTTGCACCGCGTAAGCTTATTGGCCTAGGGCGCAGTGTGGCTAATCTGGACACACAGTGTCTCGGCCTTTACATTATTTAAACAAAAAAAAATAAGTTAAGAAAATATATATATCGCTAACAAGTACATAATTTTAGTCTATTTGTGCAAATATATTAAATTAAATAAATTGAGTACCAGTTATTTCTTTAAATAAGATGCATTATTCAGCGGTATAGAACTTTAATATTAAATAATATCTAATATTAGAACCTTAATCATTTAACTCTTTAAGTGTTTTCAGTGATCATTCAACACAAACAGACGTTCATTGTGCTCGTTCACTATCATATTTTATATTTCATTAATGACTCTAATGAGTCTAATTAAATTATTGTAAATCCAAGCATGTCTTGGAATACTTCTAAACGCAATTTATCTTCATCGCCATGATCTTTGCCTACGAAAATCAATGAAAAAAAAGCAGTGTTTATCACACCAAATCACTATGTGTCTCTTTCCTAGGAAACTATATTTTATCAAAAGGTTTTTAGTCCTCCATCGGCTCCACACATCGCAATATCATCTCAAGTCACGTTCACATAGCAGTGTATATTTTAACTAAATAAATGTCACCTAGTAAATATTTTTTGTCGCCTAGAAGATGATATATTTAATTACTGGGCGGCAACGTTATTTTGGTAAAAATTAAGATGTTTATAATTATTTTAAAATTATATTTATTAGTAGTTCATTATGCTTGATTTTGTAACATGTTTATCATTTCCTTTGATGATTTGAAGTTAAAACATAATGTTCTCGTGTTAACATTGATAGTTTGTAAACAATACACGAACGTCATTCGTTTTTTCAGGTTGAATATAAACATGAACAATATTTATATTTTTAATGAATTGAACGATTTTTGGGACGTTCATATTTATTTCATCATCATACTCATGGCTTCATGACTCTGTAAAAGTTTTCGCTGCTTCTGTTATTGCTCTCCAACTTCCACAATCCTTCCGAACTTTTTCCAATATGTAATATATAGTCTTTCTAGGTCGTCTTGTTTTATATCACCGATCCAGGGTTTTTTCGGCCTCCCCTTAGTTTCTTCCCTTCTAGTTGTCAATCCATGATTGGTCTTGCTTTGCTTGTTGCTTCTCTCCATTTACCATAACCGAAACATTTTAGTCTTTGTCCCATAAACGGAAATTTGGTGAAATTTGTGGGGGGGGGGGCTAAGCATTATTTACTTATTATACCCCTGTACGCAATTATTTATTTCAACAAGGTAATTTACAAAGTTTGAAAATTTGACATACTCAACAATTTAAAAACAAAAACGATTAGGTGTCTTATCTTAAACATTTTTGGAGTAAGTATTTTAAACAGAAATTGTTAATTAATAAAATTAAAAACCAATGCGGGTATTATTACATATTATTAATATTACATTAATTACGATCATTCCAAGTCAAGACAATAAGTTGGTAAAATCTTACGAATTTTAATTTAAAATTTATCACAGACTATTTCTTTTTTAATTCAGTTATTAAAAATGCATTTTATAATTATATATTTATTGTATTTTTAGTCACTTAACAATTTTTAGGGTTAGGGGGGCTTAATCTCCTAAAGCCTCCTCCCCCAATTTCCGCCTATGCTTTGTTTTTTTATTTAACTTGTTATAACGGGTATTTTCGTACTTTCCCTCATCTCTCTATTTTTCTTTCTACGCTAGCAATTGGTTACATCATTATATACGGCTCCACATATTGTTTTTAATATTCTGTTTTTGAAGGTCTTTTGAAAAACTTAAACGTGATCGTGTATGCTTTAAAAAATTAACATGAGCGTGAACGAGATCGTTTTTTATACACTAAAAGTGAACGTGTACGAGTTCAATTTTTAACTAAACGTTCCGAACACTAACTAAATATACGTTACAAGTTTCGATCATACTATTAGAGTTTCTAATATTTGTTTTAATATTATATAAATGTCCCCTATTGGTATTACGTACTCATTCTCATTGTTAATAATATTTTATTTTTTTATTATTATATCATTACTCTTTATTATTATTTACAATTTTTGAAATTTTCAGTGTTTATATTATGTCTAATTTTGTTAATTTGACGTAATTAATTGTTAAACCATTGTATATAATTCTGTATTTGTTGAGCTATAATAATTCTAACTGAAAGGTTTTAAATAAAAAAAAAAAAGAGTATGAAGTATATTTTTAGTCTTAACGATTTATAGTTAAAATGTTTTTAAGTTATAAATTATAATAATTATAGAATTATAATCATTATATTTATAAATATCTCATTACTATATTATGTATACCTAATTATGTAATAAAAAAAAAAAAAAATTTAACGTTAAATGATAACTTGTATTTACCTATACCATCATTTTTTCTTACACATACAAGTATGTTATTATTCATTTGATGAATACTTAATAATTTTGCTTTATCTATCCAGTCGGTTAGTTTTAATTTCTCGTAACATTTCATTTGATCAACAATATTCTTGTACATATCTACAACCTATAATATAATTTGACATTTTGTAAACATTTATTTAAATATTTCAAAATTAAAAACGTTACCTTATATTTTAAAGGCATATCAAATTCGTCAACCGATTGAAACAAGGTTATTGGCTCTTTGATCTTATCAAACAACATTCGTACCCAGAATATAGATCCAGAAACAGGTGGATGATGTCGGGAGACTGGAGGATTGTTTTGTTGAGTCTAAATTTAATGACATTTTTCACACATTTTTATTTTACTGTCGTTAATTGGTAGGATGCAAAATTTCAATTGAAATAAAAAATATCATATTATGTATATAACTTTTGACTTTTAATACAATAGTACAAGTTCTATCGTTATATTAACGTTAAATGTAAAATAATTTAGTTTTTCAACATAATAACAATATAAAAATGTGTTACAAAATTAACCACATAAACTATAAACTAATCTTGCTACCGATGTTACCCATAATTGTATGTTAAAGATTAATAAAATGTATTTTTGGGTATACGGACCCTTAGTCCCGAACGGTTGATCGTGAAACAATTATTTAAAATTAATCACTAGGGCATTTGGTCGCGAGTAAATTTAATAGATGAAAAATTTGATCTAGTAAAGTTCAACACAGAATAATAAACTGAATTTTCATTAAATATTAGGATACTTAAATATAAGGCTTTTGAGTAGGCGTAAAAAATATTTGCTCGGAGTTAAATATTTAAATTACAGGCTAACTATGCATATTTAATAAGTGTCGTATAAAATACTTTAAATAATTATTTTACCGTTGTTTTTACTTAAAATTAGGTAATTATTGAAGATTTATAATATTGACAATGAATAATTGTTTCTTAATTGTTATTTTAAAAAATGTAATGACTTAAATTTCAATATTTAAGAACACGAATCAATTTGTTATATATTTAATTTTTATTATTATTTATTTTCTTGTAGGTATAATTTTCCGGGTGTTTAAATTTAACAATAATTTATTATCCCATAACTACATATTAAATAGTTCATTCGCTTAATTTTCCATGCCAAATTGTTTTTTTACCAAATTTTCCCTGATCCACATTTTTTATTTTAACTCAGAAATTAATGTGTTGTATATAGTATATATAACACATATATACTATATACAATGAATTTATTTTCAAGAATATTTTATTCTAATACATAAGGAACGGCTTTAAATTCTCTAAAAAACAAGAGAAATGCCTTAAAAAAAATGATTTAATGCACTCATAACAGATGTATAATTTTTAAAAATGATTTAAAACATAAAAACGGACTAAAAATTAAAAAAAAAAATACTCAAAAAAGTAAAAAATTCTTATAAATACATAAAAAATGCAAAATAAAAATAACTTTTTTTTTTAATTCCTTAATGTATGAAATAAACTTTATGATAGGAAAGAAATATTTTCAAACATTCAGTAAAAATGCAAATTGCATTAAAATCTGTTCCATAATAATATATAATGAACAGTAAATAAATAATTAAGAAAACTTACCAAAAACCATGTTTCAATGGTTGTTAGTTCATTTTCATATTGTCTCAAGATTGCTTGGTATTTTGTTTTAAGCTGTTCTTTAAAAACAGGACTAGAAGTAAATTTATGAAGTTTTTCCAAAATCAAGTATGCCTCTTTGCACGATCTTGAGTTAAAATAAATAATTATTAACATTTATAACTTTAGCGAAACATAGAAATCAACAATCAGAATTTCAAATGTCAAATAACAAAACATAAGCTTCAGAAATGCAGTGTAAATTTTTCTTTATAATTTAATTATGATTTTGTAATAATAAAGCAGAAGCATTCAAAGAATTCTTTTAAAGAGCTATGTAATTGAAATTACAAATAAAAATATATTAAAATATTTTCATGGAAATTAACATATAAACATTTTTTATAATTCAAAAATCAACGAATAAATAGTAATCGTATTAATTAGTATTATCACATTACCTTAAATTATTAAAACACCAGTCAATAAAAAGTTTGCATTCTTCTTCCACTTTTAATACTTCCAAATTAAATTCTTTAAGGAATAAATTCCAGTTTTCTACATTGTCTTCGCAAAATAAATCAAAGTCGATTGCATCGAAAACTTTATACAAGGATTTAACTCTACTTATCATAACGTCCAAACCAATCATATCTTTAATAATTGATCTCAAGTCTTGACCCAAAATATTCAAAAATTGATTGATTGTCTGTATTGAATTAAAAACATTAATATAATACAAAATCTTATAGTAATATATGACTTAAGTTATATATGCAGGTAAAATTTCTTGGGGGAAAGGAGCGGTGGGCGAAGGTTAAAAATATTTACAATGTAAAATATTGATAAAAAGCATGCTTTATTATTCATTATATAATATATATAAATCTATATAAGTATAATATACTTAAGTATATTTATTTATATATTTTATTAGTAAGTCTCATGAGAAATTTTGAAATAACTATTAAATTTGTTGGTTAAGTTATTTTCTTATAACTTGTTTTCTGATATTTTTTTTGAGGAGGATGAATCCCTGCCCCTGCTATTATTGTGTTCACACCATATAATACGGGTTTATATGAAATGAGAATACAACAAAATTACCTACCGCAACTATTTCATGAATATCTTTAGCTATTCGTTTGATGTATTCAATTTTATTGAACAGTATACATTTATCAAATTCCCATCGTTGAAATTTTGATTTTTCGATAGATTTTCGAGTTTTTAAGTATTCTGTTGACCAAACATCTAACATTTTTGTGGCATTGAAAGACATTTCTGATATTTCTTCAATTTTTTTAGTTCTAAAATAATTCATCTTTGTACTACATTAGATTACTTCAACTATCGAGTAAACAACATCTTTACGTTACACAATATCAGTAATAAAGGAATAGTTATACGAAGGTAAATGAAGAAGAAAATAATAGACACAGTTAACTCGATAACTATTTAATGCAGTAAAATATAAGTCTATTAGTCAATGTAAGGGTATAAAATATTACAATAATGTGATATTTAACGTATAATTAACTTAATCTTACTTAAAAATAGATTTCAAGTCACCCAAGTTTCGGCCGACATTTTCACATAGGCCATTTGAAATTTGTAAAAGTAATCTTAACATATTAACGTCTTTACCGAAATAGGGTGATAGAACCCATATAGTTCTTAAATCATCAAACCAAATAGGTATGATTTTAATAATCGTTTCAAAATTGGCAGATACAAAATCCTAAAAAACAGTTAGTTTCATAGAATGAGTGTATTTTAATTTCAAATACGTTCAATATTACATTTTTTAAGATAACAAACAAAATATAAGCCGAAAAAATATAAAACATATTTACTTTTAGTAAAATTACTGTCTAGTATAAGATGTATAAATATCACACGTAACACATTCGTGTGTAAATTCAAAATCAACGTCATCGATTAGATCAATATATTTTAGAATGTTATAACAATTATATAAATACCTCGTAGTGTTCCATGATTAACGAAATATATTTTAAATTATCTTTTGCAATTCCACACGAACGAATAAATTGTAACTTAACATTTTTGAATTCTTGCCAAATGGTATTAATTCCCTGCGTAGTGGTGGCCGTTTTTTCTATAACATCTAGAAACAATTTCGTATCCTCTGCTTCAAGTTCGCCTAGAATTGATCGAACCAACGCTTCGTTGTTTTTCCAAAATGTAAACTCCGAATGAATAGTGTCTCGTTCTCGAAACTATTGGGATTAGATAAATTAAAAATATTTTAAATACCTGACAGTCCAACATTTTTATATATATTATACATAGATATTTAATATTTTAGCTACAGTTTAATATTAGATAAGAATATACGAGTATTACAAATATTTTATAATCAATATAATAAAATAAAATACCGATAAACGTTAAAATAATATGAAATAATTTGAAAATATATCATGGGCCAAATTAGTATGCAGGTCTATCAAGAAGAAAAAGGAAAATAAGAAGAAGCAGAAGAAGAAAATTATTTTATTGGTAATCTTTTAGTTACACATAAAATAATTTTTAAGTAATTTATATTGAATTCATACAAACAACCCAAAACATGTATGCTCATTGTAGTGTACGTGGTTACACTGTACACAGTGCATGTTAGTATATAGGTTATATAATACATGTGTAAACTAGCAGTTGGTACAGTTTTAAAAATAAAGTTAAAAAAGTCTTATTAAATTAATTCGTTTTATTTATTTTGTATCAGCTCATTAATTAATATAGTGATTGGCTTGTGTTCTGGTACCATGTAGCGCAGTCATTACAATTGGCGACGAAATAGTGAAACATGCGAGCAAATCAGTTGTTTGAGTCATGTTAATCGGGACAGATACAGCTGTGTGAATTTAAAGAAATGTGGTTACCATGACTAATCGAGGGTCCAATAGCTTGGTCGGTCATGTCAATGAATTTAAATTGAAAGAAGATGATTTCAGTGGATGGACTGAACGTTTTGAGCTGTTTATTCAGCTTAATGAAATAAATTCTCATAAAAAAAAGTTATTATTATTTATAACCTTAATTGGGAATGAAGGATATTCTTTATTACGGGATTTGTGTTTACCTATTAAACCACTGGATAAATCTTATGATGACCTCAAAACTTTGTTATCGGAACACATGAATCCGAAGTCGAATGTAGTCACGGAACGTTTTCAATTTAAGGAACGGAGACAAGGCAGCGAAACGATTATGCAATTAATTGCAATATTAAAGAAAATGTCAGAATTTTGTGAGTTCGGCACACATTTGGATGATGTCTTAAGAGACCAGTTAGTGTGGGGTATCAAAGATAAAACTATTCAGAAGCGGTTACTGTCGGAGGAGTCTTTGAATTTTAAAAAAATATGTGGAATTGAGCAAAGCCATAGCAAGGGCTTAGTGAGACTGGCCCATGCCAGAGGCGCAACAAAAAAAAGGGCGCAAAAGATAGAATTTAAATATTTATATACCTATGTCTTTATTAATAATATAGGTATGTACATAATACATTTTATTTATAATATACACAAAATTGTTTTCAATTTATAGTTATATTTACAAAATCATATGATATCATAATAATGTACCGAGAGATAATTTGATATTCTAAGAACTGTTGAACATTGGTGGCCTATAATATGTTTATATGTAGTGTATATTATAGATAAAAACAGTATTCCAAAGTTCTTATCAAAAATCTTCCACCAATACATACATATTATTTAATAATTAAGTAATAATATCACAAACATAGAACAATAATAATATAGATACTCGTATTTCAATAAATTTTAATAATTTTATACGAGTTCGTGAAGCTTGCATATTGCATGAAGATCTTCAAAAACTTATACGGTATGTAGTTGACTATTATAATTATATTGAATTTAATAAATTATAGTTCATATATTAATATAAGTTTTAGAGCTGTAAAGCTCTAAATTTTATTACAAAATAATTATTTATATGCAGTGGCGACTCGTGTTAAGGCGCGCGTGCGATGGTGCGATAGCACTCCCTACGTAATTTTAAAATAAAATGAAACTTGCAATTATACCTGTTATAATTATTAATTTATATTTTGTCAAATTAATTTAAATAATTAATTCAAATTCTATTGGAAAATTATACTTGGAGAAAAATATCATCGTAATCCGGAAATTTCAATGCAATAAGAATAATCTAAAAGTGTAACACAGACTGAGCGAACAACTCCTACGTTTCATAGTTTCGTTGGTCAATTCTCATTATGTGATTCGGTCTGTTGAAGAGTAGGGAGTAATTTATTATCCATATAGTGGTATTTAATCATATTTCATAATAATAATAACAATAATTAAAACCACTTATACGATATTTTTCAATTGATGAAACATATTTTCCTACACCAAGAAATTCATTATTATAGTTGTTGATTCTTATTTTGATACTTAAAAAAACTTCATTTTTCTGATACACAAATTATCTATCAGTCCATTATTACTTGACATTGATTTAAACTTAAGTTATAATATAATATGTATTTTACTTTTCAATTTCCTTTATAAGATATAAAAATATTTCCTATACTAGAAACTATCCTAAATAATGAAACATTTTTCAACCACCATCGCCTTTACTTCCAACTCTTACAGTATGATATTTACTATTATTTGATCAAATTTATCAATTTCTCCCGTATGACCGTATATGTGTCACGAGCATAAGCATAACTAGGGAGGCATGAATGGGATGAAGCCCACCAAGAATTCCTTGAAGCCCCTCCGAAATTTTTTGGGCAAATTAACCTACAAATCGATGTAGTGTATAATATAATTAATTTTAAGTCTCCGACAATGGAAAAATTATTATTTTTCATAATATAAACAATAGATACGACTTCACTTATGTTAAAAGAATTAGTATCGTCTATAATGAATATCAGAAATAATGTATTTGAGTTTTCAATAAACAAAGCAAAAGAAAAAGCTAAATTTTTAAATATTCCTTCACAATTTGAAGAAAAACATTTAAAAATTGTCAAAAGATATTTTGACGATTTACCAAATGACGAACGAAAATTAAAAGCAGTACAAGAACTAAAAAGAGAATGCTATTTAGCTTTCGACTCGATTGTTTTTCATTTTAGCTGTAGATACGAACAGATAAAAAAAGTTGTATCAAGTTTTGGATTTTCAAATGGAAACAAATTATTTAATATAAAATCAGAGGATATATGTATATATATATATATATATATATGTAAGTGGTCAAAATATTTAGCTATGAAGTACTCAGAAGACCTCAATGGATTTGCTTTGTACTCAGAGCTAGAGTGTTTTAAAAATCAAACTCCGAATTTAAAGGATAATTTTAAAACAGCTACTCCCTTAGAACTACTAAAATATATTCATAAATATTCTTTAAAAGATGTTTATCTTAATACTGAAATTGCATTAAGAATATTTTTGACTATATTGGTGACGACTGCCACTTGCGAAAGAAGTTTTAGTAAATTGAAAATAATTAAGAACTATCTAAGGTCAACAATGTCACAAGAAAAATTAACAAATAAAGAAACAATATCTATAGAACGTGAATTGACTTCACAAATTAACTTTGAAGATGTAATTGATTAATTTGCAACAGAAAAAAATTCGAAAAGTAAAATTTTGAAAATGTCTAAGCACTATTTTTTTTTATACTATTATATAAGTTGAGTAATTCTTTTTTTTTATCCTTATTAAATATTATAGTTATAATTATTTATTATTAGTTATAACTAATAAATAAAATTAATTAATTTACGTATACATTTTTTATTTGAGTGTAGTATAAAGAGGGGGGGGGGATTTTCAAGGGCGGAAATATGTCAAATAGCCAGGAGTGCTGATGAACATTGCTACGGCTCTGGAATTGAGTGTCGTGATGGAAACAGTAACCAATGATGTGAACCAGCTTAAAAATCCAAATGAAGTTGAAGTACTGTACCAAGAATCGAAGAACGAGCTAGTGGTCGGTAGCAGAGCGCAGCGGAAAGCAACGTCTACGGGCCTGCAGCAGCGATTAGAGGTGGTTCGCTGTTGTTGTGAGGCAACTGGTCATATTAAGCCAAAATTTAAGTTTAAAGATTTGATTTGTACAAAATGTAATAGGAAAGGTCATTTAAAAAGTGTAAAAATGACTTCTTGAATGTCAATAATTTGAAACAGGAGATAGCTGGTATGATGAAATCTTTATTTAATTTAGTACCGTTACAGGTTGATTTTATTAATCCTTATTGTTTGGAGTTGGCAGTTGATGGTAAAAACATTTTATTTCAAATTGACACTGGATCTGGGGTATCTGTTATGTCGGTAGATAGTGTTAAACAGTTTAAAATTGGTGGCTTGGACAAATTAGTTAGAACTAATTTAAAATTAAAAGCATATAATGGTACTATTATTGATCCATTGGGAATATTGTCTTAAGTTATTGGTTATAAGGGATTGTGTAAGACATTAGAGTTGTATGTGGTTAATGAAGGGGATCCACCGATTATGGAAAGAGATAAGATTGCTGCCTTTAAGGTACTCCCTAAGGAATTGGGTTTAAATACTTTGAGTGTGCAGAGTATGGTTGATAGGCTACGCCAATTGTACCTGTAGTAAAAGTGGACGGAAGTATTAGATTATGTGGAGATTATAAGGTTACTATTAATAAAATGTTGGTCATGGATAGGTACCCAGTACCACGAGTGAATGAATTATTAAGTATGTTTCAGGGGGCAACTAAATGTTGTACTTTAGACCTTTGTCAGGCGTATCAACAACTGCCTTTGAGTGCAGAGAGCCAGAAAATAACAATTACTACGCATAGAGGTATATTATTGTTTAAGAGGGTGCCTTATGGTATTGCATCTGCACCAGGTTTACTGCAAAGGAAAATGGAAAGTATCTTAGTGGGTTTAGCAGGAGTTGGTTGCTTTTATGATGATGTAGTGATAGCGGGTAAGGATGACAAGGAAGTTACCGAGAGACTTTTGAAAGTATTAGAGTTTGGAATCAGCTGGTTTAACAGTTAGGTTAGGTTAAGTTAGGTTTCCCACCAAGGACCCACCTTGCCGCGATAGGGGGCTCACTCCCAAACAGGTGTGCCAACGGGTCCACTCCCCGGTCATGTCCTTAATTGGATGGGGATGGTGGCACTAGAGCTCCCCTGACCTTAATTGGTTGGGGAGGCAGGTTGGAGGTAGCCT